CATGATTTCTATTCAATTGGGTTTCAGGCCCGATTTTAATTCAACAGGGCCTAAAGTTTGATTTCTAACGGGCCTAAAGCCCATTTTGTTCTTTAGGCCCAACCTGCCTTTTATTTTATTTTTGTTAAATTAAACAAAATACACAAAAAATGAAAAGAAAAAAAAAACAAACAGAAGAATACAAGAGAAGGAAAAACCAAAATAGAGGGAGTTGGTGCCTAGTGTCGTGCACGATACCACTGGCACCACCCGCCCATGCTAGGCCCTGTGCCACCTGCTCAAGCACAGGGCCAAGATTAGACAATACAGAAGAATAATGGGGTAGAGAGGGAGCTGCCTCTAGTAAGCCCTGTGCCACTCATCCAGGCACAGGGCATGGCCGGAGCGCTATAAATAGAGCTCCGTGCTAGACCAAAAAAGAGAGAAAAAATAGACCCCTGCTAAAAAAATATTCTACCAAACAAAAATAATAATAAAAAATACAGTCCCCTGGAATAGGGAACCTAGCGCCGAGAGCCCCCACAAAAAGAAAAAAACAAAATTAGTTTAAAAAAAAAAGCAAGCAAGTCAAAATACCTAAAAAAAAAAGGAAAGGGGTTTGGCCAAAAGTTAGAAGGTAGGTCTAGGGAATTTTAGACCTTTTTTGGAGAAAGAAAGGTCGAATTTGTGCTTAAGGGGTTGAGAGGAGTTTGTGGGTAAGTTTTGAGATTTTTTGGTGATAGGCGCAGCGGTTGACAACCATTAACAACGGTTGGCATAGCAATCAGCGACCAACTGGGTAAAGAGGTAGAAAGAGTAGGGAGAGAGATTTTTTTTTTTAGAGGAAGAAATAATATGAAAAAAAAATTAAGCTTTTATAGAAATTGCCAAGGGCCAAAACGACGTCATTTCAATAAGCATCAAAACAACGTCGTTTTGAGACCCAAGGATCCGCACATCAACCTATGACCCGACTTAGGGTCCGTGCACTCGATCCGACAACCTGTTTCTCCTTTAGCCTACGATTGGTCTAGTTGAATAGGCACAAACCGAACCAAATCGACCCCAAACCGTTGAATCGAAGCCGAACCACTAAACCAATCAAACTGGATTGAACCGCCAAACCGATTGGACCTGCGTTGACCAAACCGTTAATAGGTCCAATTCAGGTAATTTTTTTTTTAATTTTTTATATATATTATTTTTATAATATTTATGCATATTAAAATATTTATATTTGTTAGAATAAATTTTGTTAAAGTAAATAAAAATAAATGATAAAATATGTAGTTAAAATTTTTATAATTTTGTTAATTTTAAAAATAGACTTTAAAAAAATAATAAAATAATAAAAATGAACTTTCCAATAATATAAAATAATAAAAAGTGTAAGAAAAAAAAATTTTATTCAACGATGAGATTTATAGATACTTCAAGTAGTGATACTTACAAAATCTCTAGGTGAAAAGTTTTTTTTTAAATACTACCAGTGTATTGGAGTATTTATAAAAAGTTTTCAATACAATAAAAAAAAAATTTTTTCCTGTTACAAAATTAAAAAATAAAATTTAACTAATAAATTAAGAATAAGTGATCAAAAAATGAATGGAAAAAAGGAAATTTTATCCGATGACGGAATTCTAAAAATATTCCGAATAGAGATGCTTTAAAAAATACCTAAGTGAGAAGATTTTTTTAAAATATTACTAGTATATTGAAATATTTATGAAAAATCTTCAATATAATAAAAATTCCTTTTTTCTCTAAAATTTTAAATAATAAAAATCAATAAATCAATAAAATTTTTAAAAAAATGATTAATAAAATGTGTGCATTAACTTAGTATCATGTGTATTGCATGCATGGCATAGTTTTTACGAAAGATAAATTCGAGTCTCTGAAGATGAGATTATAAGGTATTTCGAGAAGCAATACCTAAGAAATCTCTAGGTGAGAAAGAGTTCTTCTAATGTTATCAAAGTACTAGAATATTTTAAAAATTATTTCAATAAAAGGGTTTCAATTTATTTTTCTCGAATAAAATTTGAACAATAAATAATAAAAAGATAATATAATATAAATAAAAAAACTAATTTCCAATAAATGAAAAAAAATCAAGAAAATTATTTTTCAAACACCGAAAATGAGATTGTTTTTATCAAAATCAAAAGATAACATGTAGTTAAGTGGTACCGTTTTTAAATAGGTGCTATGGGTGTACTAATCTTTTTCCACGTATAACCGACTCTTGGATCTAGACTGTTTTGCATACCATAAAATTATTTTTTTAATAAATTTTAACTAATTTTAATAAGTGGTCAATTGCACCTAGCCAAAAAAGATTGGTGGCGACTCTGTTTTTTGTTTTTTTGTTTTAATTTTTAAATTCGTCGGACAGCTCCAAAATCGTTACGACACAATATCAAGTTTAAACTCAAATTTGATTTGAAATTTAAGATTTAAAACTTAATTCAAACTCGATCGAATTTTATATTTTTAGTTTGAATTCGACTCAAGATAAAAATTAAATTATTCGGGCTCATTTGATTACGTTTAATTACCATGTAAAAATAAATTCGATTTTTATATTCGATAAAAGCTTGATTATTTATACTCGAGCTTTAATTCGAGATATTTTATTAATTAAATATATTAAAATATAAAAATTCAATTAGGTTCGTGAGTTACTTGATCTAAGTATAAGAATGTTTGAACTTGACTCGATTGATAAGTCGAGCTACTCGAGCTCGAGTTCGACTCAATAATAATTGAATCGAATTCAAATTTTATTCGAATTGAACCCGTATAACTTATTAATATTAATGTATGATTTATATTTCTAGTCTTAATACTGATAGATAAAAAGAAAAATAGAGGGAGAGATTGAGAATTTATCATTAATTGAAAAAAAAAACTACAAAATTTACTTTTCACAAAACATTTTTTTAAAAAAATTTCATGATAAATAAATTGTTCAGTTTTTAAATTAAAATAAAATATATCATATTCGATAATTAAAAATAATGACTGAAAATCATGTATTAGAGATAACTTTAACAAAAAAAATCATTAATATGACTCAAATTTAAGATCCAAAACTTTTATGTCAAAGTGAAGGATCTTTAACAATTGATTTAATCATGTTGGTTTTTGCAAAACATTTTTTAAGGATATGATAGAAATTTTTTAAAAAAAAATTGTTTGTGACATTTTACGAAAATAGTCGTTAGACGGGAAATTAAGAATAAACAGGGAATTAGGAAGACAGAAAAATGATAGAAACATGAGGGTAAGGAAAATTTTGAAGAGGAATGGATTATTAAAAGAGGCACATTGATTTTTCTAATTTGTTGAGCAAATTAAATAGGGTTTAAATGTTAATTGGCTTTGTTTAATTGGATGAAAGTACCAATAGATATAAGGTTAACAATAAATTATAATTTATAGTATATTTAAAGTAATTTACAAAATCATTATTTATATTTAGATGAGTTTTTAAAAAAATAAAAAGAAAATGAGTTTTGTGAATTATTAAGAGTATTATAGAGATTTTTAAAAAAAGAAATTACAGAATCTGTTTTTAAATATGTGACACCTATCTCATAAGCTAGAAGATTTACAAAATTCTGCTAAAATTATAAATTTTACAAAAAAAAAATTAAATTAAAAGAAATATTCAACTAACTTATATTCTTTTAAATAAAAGAAAAATGATTAGCCATTAACTTTTATTTTCATTTAATTGAGGATTCAAATTAAAAAAATATTTAAGATTTTATTCACATAAAATAAAAATTTTATAATTTAATTAATTATAATACAATATAAAAAATGAAATAATTATTGAATTCTAGTAGTCAACGAAACTTAACAATGAAGGATATAAGTGAATATTTTGTCAATCAACCCTAGATAAGTCGTCTCCAGCAGACGACCGATTTGTAATAATAAAAAAAAAATTAAGTGATAAAAAATCATGTATTCATATGATTGTTCAGTTTTTACAAATTAAAATAAAATATATCATATTTAATAAATTAAAAATAATGATTAAAAATTATATATTTAAGATGATTTTAACAAAAAAATTATTAATTTGATTCAAATTTAAAATCTAAAATTTTTACATCGAAGTGAATTATCCTTAACAATTAAGTTAATTTCTTGTTAGTTTTTACAAAATATTTTTTAAAGATATGATAAGAATTTTTTTAAATAAATTATTTGTGAAATTTTATGAAAACAATAGTTAGACGAAAAATTGAGAATAAACAAGGAAATAAGAAGAGAGAAAATTGATAGAAACATGAGGGAAGGGAAAATTTTGAAGAGGAATGGATTATTAAAAGAGGCTCATTGATTTTTCTAATTTGTTGAGCAAATTAGATAGGGTTTAAATGTTAAGTGGCTTTGTTTAATTGGATGAAAGTACTAATAGAGATAAGGTTAACAAGAAATTATAAGTTATAGAATATTCAAAGTAATTTACAAAATCATTATTTATATTTAGATGAGTTTAAAAAAAAAAAAGAAAATGAGAATACATATTTCTTCCGTTTATTAATTAAATTTTTAAAAAATGCATTTATCAAATATTTAACAGAAAAAACAATTAAGTTAAAAGATAAAAAAAATCATCAAATAAAAATTTAATAATCACCCAAAATTTTATTATTTTATTATAATTAATTAAATTTTTAAATATTTATTTTTATCAATTAAATTTTTATTAAACAAAAAGTGATTAATCATTAATATTTATATTTATTTAATTGAGGATTCCAATCGAAATAAAAATAATTATTTAAGTTTAATTCATCTAAAATAAAAAATTCATAAGTTATTTAATTATAATAAAATATAAATAATTTAAATAATTATTAAATTCTAGTAGTCAACGAAACTTAACGGCGAAGGATTTAAGTGAATATTTTGTGAACCAAACCTAGACACGTCGTCTCCAGCAGACGACCGACCTGTAATAATAAAAAAAATAACAAAAAAACCTCCAGCAGACGACCGACCTGTAATACTATAAAAGAAGTGATTACAAGAAAGTGAAGAGAGAACAGGTGAAATCCCATTTTTCCTTATATAATGTCTGATCCAAAATTTAGAAGAACAATGGATTTTACAAAGTTGTTGCCCGAAGAGTGCATGTGTCTGATCATATCATTGACTTCGCCTCGAGACGCATGTCGATCGGCCCTGGTTTCTCCTGCCTTGAGACCAGTTGCAGACTCTGATGATGTGTGGGAGAGGTTTCTGCCTTGTGATTATCAGGAAATCATTTCAAGATACTCATCTACGTCATTGCTTTCATGGGCAAAGAAGCGTCTTTATTTTCATCTCTCCTTTCATCCCATTCTGATTGAAAATGGTACCATGGTAAGTTCAAATTTGACCCTGTATCCACTTTTCCAACTTTGTGCTACAAGAACATCTGTTTAGGGGATGTTTTAAATTTAATTTTTAGAATAATTTTAATCATATATAGCATTTTTAAGGGATGTTTGATAATGGACCAGAAGGAATCATGGCTAAGTTGATCAATTTCTTCAAAGCCACAATTTGTACTATATGGTTTAAATATGTGTTGTTTTGCTCCATTTGGTCCATTTATCTGAAAAATTAAGGTTGCTGGTGTCTAAATAGAGCTTTCAATTGGAGAAAGAGACTGGGAAAAAATGCTATATGCTAGGAGCAAGAGCACTGTCAATTATATGGGGAGATACACCTCAGTATTGGACATGGACATCTCTCCCAGAATCTAGGTTTGTTCTTGTCCTTTTTTTTTTTTCTTTTGTTCAATGATATTCTCATCTTAAGATCTTAATTGGCCATGACTCAATACTGCTGCTTGGGAAAAACAATGTCTTTTTTCTTATATTTGTGACTGTCAGGGTTTGATCCCTGATTTAGTACTTTATCAACAGATTACGCGACTTTGTTGGCTAGGGAAAACAATATCAATTGCCAAGAAAAGAACTATGCTTATCTGCATAAATCTACAACTTATAGAATGACATTTTTTATGAGCTCAAGTTATTGTGGTTCTGTCTCCAACATATTGACAGGTTCTCTGAAGTTGCTGAGCTCAGGATAGTGTGGTGGCTGGATGTGAAGGGAAGGATTGAGACCAGAAATTTATCTTCCGGAACAAACTATGCGGCATACCTTGTGTTTAAGCTTAATGGGAGTAGATATGGGTTTAGAGAGAGAACAGTAGGTTTGCATGTGAACGTGGGAGAAACCGCATCAGGGGAAGTGAGGAGTGTGTTTCTAGACCATCCACAGAATGATCCCCAACAAGCTCAAGAGAGAGGAGATGGGTGGATGGAGATTGAAACGGGTGAGTTTTTCAATGAATGTGGAGATGATGGGTTTCTAGACCATCCACAGAATGATCCCCAACAAACTCAAGAGAGAGGAGATGGGTGGATGGAGATTGAAACGGGTGAGTTTTTCAATGAATGTGGAGATGATGGGTTTCTAGACCATCCACAGAATGATCCCCAACAAGCTCAAAAGAGAGGAGATGGGTGGATGGAGATTGAAATGGGTGAGTTTTTCAATGAATGTGGAGATGATGGGACAGTGGAGTTTTGCCTTCGGGAGATCGACTGTAATTACGATAAGCGTGGCCTCATTATTGAAGGAATTGAGGTGAGGCCTAAAAATATTGGAAGGTAATATCATCTTCTTCTTTCTATTTGGTTCAACATTCCTTTGCAGGATTTGAATATTTAATGTTTTGTATTTGAGAAGAAAAAGTTATGGCATGCACTTTCCAATAACTTTTAAATATTTTACCCCAAAGGCAGATTGTGTTGTAAGTACTATATTTGTAAAGTTTAATATTGTGTAAACATCCCCAAAGGCAGATGAGCCAATTACCATATCGGTTATTGAGAATGGTTTGGTTGGTTTTGATTTTTTTTTTTAATACGGTCGGTTAATTTGGTTATAGATTTTTCAGATCGATCGACCAAATCGACCGGCTGTAAAAAATCCATTACCTGTCTACTGCATGCCCAAGTGGTGATGCGGGAATAAAGATGGAATTTGTTAAGATATGATATGAGACGGGAGTAATTGAAATAGTAATGATCGTCTGCTTGCTGTGCGTAGATCCAAAATTTTGTTTTGGAACCTTGGCTTAGAAGAAACACAAGAAATTAACAAGTAGCATCTACAATATCAGCAATAAGTAATGATCTTGTTGTCTGTTTTTAACCTTGTGTTTGGCTTTTTGATAAGAAAAGTATGTTATTTACCTAGTCACTGAACTTTGGTCATAGTTTCATCTGCATCACTCAACTTTAATTTATCCCATTAAAATCATTTTTTTTTTGTACTAAAATATTCATGATAAATAAGTTACTCAATTTTCAAATTAGGATAAGATATGTTGAAACTAATAACTTAAATTAGGTGGTTACAGATATATCTTATTCTTTCGTTTCACTTGCTTTTTTTATTAGGAGTGTTCTAAGAGCAACCATGAATTTTTCTTGGTTTCATGTTTTCAACCGCTTAATGAGCACCTTGTTTGTACATGGCAGGGGATTACTCTTTGTCTAGTAGAAATCACCTCAGTAGACAAATTTTCAAGATAAAACAAATCTGAAAATGTTGTTTGTTATTTATTTTCACTCAATTTTTGCAAATTTAAGGAATTTCTTAGGTGTTTTTGATGTTTTAACGATTGAAACAGAGGGAAATTGATCGAGGAAAGGATTTCTAGGTTTGATTTTATTGTTGGTAGAGGTGAAATAGAGTTTTAGAGGGAAGGAGCAATTGGGTTTCGGATTAGATCTAGACTAATCTAACTCTTTTTATAAGAATCCAACATGAAGAAGGGAAAGAATAGATCGAAAAGAGTTTGAAAATGAAATTTGGTGATTAATTGGCGTCGGCAAGCGGCAGAAGACAACGAACAGAATGGTGGAGGACGATGGCCGGTGACCGTACGATGGTGGCTAGATTTTCTTCCAAGAGAGGGTAGTGAGAAAGTAGAAACTAAAATAAAAAAATCAAATTAATTTTTTTTTCTGTTTTTTCCAAATGTTTTTTTTTTTTTTTGTTTAAATTTAAGATAAACTAATTTTAAACACATACGATACACAAAAATATATTCATATATCAAAAAATCTTATATAAATATAAATTTTTATAAATGATAATATAATTTATGAAGTTTAAGAATAATTCATAACTTATATAATCATTTTTATTTAAATTTATAGATTTTAATATAATAAAATTAATTAATTACATATTAAATATACGTATGTAATTATCATCAATTTTAAAGAAAACTGAAACTATAATTTATTGAATTCAAATAACTTTTAAACAAAAGATAATAATATTTTCGATTTCAAAAAATTAAAAATTTCGTCTTTAAAATCAATATTATATATAAGCTTTTTTCATGAGAGATGTTTTCATAAGTTGTTAAAGTAAAGATGCAACAATTGATACTCCATTATTTTTTGTTATCTTTGAAGTAAGTATTATTTTACTTGATGAGTCAATAAATTTCACAAATAGATGTGAAGAGACAGATAAAACAACAATCTATAATTTGATAATAGTTTGAGTTATAAACTAAATTATATAATTTTATAAAAAATATAATATTATAATAAACTTATACATATCTCTTCCAATAATTTTTGACATTCAAGCTTAGGATCAAAAGTATAGACGTTATTTACTGTAAATTTAATATTACTTATTTCAAGATTATACTTGATTGCCCTTGTTTTGAACTCACAAATTTTATCCTTAAAATCTTTGAATATCTATTGGATTTTATAATCTTCATTTTTCTAAATCATAAGTATAAATATATTATTCAATTAATTTAAATACTAAATAATATTAAAACAACTTTTAACTCAAACTTTAACAGATATTTCATAAAGATTGTCAATATCTCTATTAATTAAATTTTTAATTTTTATATTGAACAGTACGAACATCACTCTTCTAGAATTATCATATGCCTTGATATTCAACTTGTATCTATAAAAAATACAAAATTCTATAATTATGAATATAATATAATAATTTGATTATCATCATGAAATAATAATTTTTTAATGTATCAAATATAAAAAATATAAATACTAATTACTTTGAAGTTAGATTAGAAACATCAACATTATAAGAATAACATTGAAATTTTTCATCAACTTCAAATAGCTTCTTGTTACACTTACATGATAAATAATACAAATCAAAAGATAAATTACAAATATCTACAAAATTAAAAAAAAAAAGTTATAGATATTTATGGATTTAATAAAAAAATATAAAATAATTTCAAAACAATTTTGAAAGTACCTTTGAATTTTTAGATTGAATTAGAAGTAACAACCAACACTATGTAACGTTGCGTTGTGTTGAAAACATTATCATTAATCTGATTAATAATGTCACCCCAAAGAGCTATCTCTAATGTTTGACCACTAATAAAATAATAATATTAATATCTTATTTAACTTAAAAGGATAAAGTAATATAAATAATTAATATATATGAACATAAGAAATTGATAATATAATGATATTGAAAATTAAAAAAACAAACCTTTCATCTTGAAGCTCTATTATTCTTTTCTTTTGCCTGGATTTATCAAAAGCTTGATCATTAACTGGAGTTATGCTTTTTAATCTTCTAACAGCATCTGAAAAAAAAATATATTATTTTTATTTACTTATATCAAATTATTATGGCCTTGTATAAGATGCATAAATGATTAAAATAAATATAAAAGATATCAAATAATAAATTTTAATTACCCAACAAATATTTTTTATCTCCAGGTTGTTTTGAAATGTCACTAAACTTAACAAACTCGAATTAGTGTTTCCCAATTATATGATCTTCTTGAGTGATCTCTTCAACAACAGTCAAGACTGAAAAAACAAACATGAAATCTTCTCGCACAACCTTATATGTTTCCTGTATAAGAACGAACTTGCACATTTCTAATAGAATAAATAGATCCTTCCTTCAAAAGAGGTTTGAATTTGGAAACCAAATTTCTGAATACCATAGCATGCATGTGATCACCCTGCCATGAGTAAATTAAATAGAAAAAAAGCATGTTTGCCATTTTTTCAACTCTTTTTTCATTTGTGTTCTTCTGTAGCAAACATACAGAAGTATTCAAGGAGATGCAGAAGTATTTGGGTTCTGAATTTGTATGGGATCTCATCAATATAGTGTCATACCCGTGCAGCAATGAAAGAAAATATATCTTTAATATAGAAACAGTGGACTGGTTATTGTTGACCTTTATCCTACATAAAGTTTCTCTTTTTTGACTTCTTTTCAAGCTATAACAATTAAGGGTATAATCGAGTCGAGTCGAATCAATACAGTGAGAAACTTGAGCTCGAGCTCGACTCACAACTCATAGCTCGATATTTTATTCGAATTCGATCGAGTTTTATTTTTCAAACTCGAACTCGATTCGTGATCGAATTTGAACTACTCGAGCTCGCACGATTAAACTCGAATAATATATAAAAATAAGTTCGATTCGTATATTCGACAAGAGTTTGATTATTTATGCATAAGCTCGAACTTGAATTCAAAATATTTTATTAATTAAATAATAAAAATATATTTAAATATAAAAGTTCCATTAAGCTCATGAGCTACTCGAGCCGGATATAAAAATACTCGAATTCAATTCGATCAATAAATCGAACTACTCGAGCTCGAGCTCGACTTAATAATAATCGAACTAAATTGGAGTACTAATGTATCATTTACACCTTTAATAACAACAAACATTTAAATGTATGATACAGCAAACATACAGAAGGTTTCTTGACCTCTTTCCTAGATTTACTTTATATCAGTGTTCGGTAACTGTCAAAACAGGTTCTCTTCCCATATGTGTGGACTTGTTAATCCACTCTACTGACTCAAGAACGAATATTACGTGAGGTCACAATAATCAAAGCACTCAAGGTTATTTAAAAAGTTATCTAAAGTTATTTAAATTTTTTCTCAATTGAAATAGAAGCAAAAGGAAGGCAAGAAGAGCAACAAAACTTTATGTATAAGGTTGATTAGAATATCCTGCCGGTCTTAAATCTAATAGTTAAAAATTCAAGCAAAAGAAAGGCTGTTTAGTCACATGTCAGAAGCAAGTAACAGTGAGAAGGAATTGATGAAAGCATGCACAGATCCAGAGCCAGTTGCTGCAATTATCAGTAAGGCGAAGATCATAGCTGTTGGTTTTAGTCAATTGAAACAGAAGCAAAAGAAAGGCAAGAAAAGCAAAAAAACTTTATATATAAGGTTGATTAGAATATCCTGCAGGCCTTAAATCTAATAGTTGAAAATTCAAGCAAAAGACAGCAAACAAAACTCAATATCCTATTGGTCCTAGAATAGAAATGTATACTATATAAAACTTTATATATGTTTTTCAATAAAATCATGTCAAGCAAGATTCTAAATATGGAATACAGATAAACATGTTAATATTAATTTAAAATAGAATAGAAAGAAAGAGTACAGAACTTTGTAATATTGATAATAGTCTTAAAGTTAGAGATAAAACCTGTTCATCTAAAATAACCATTCCTAAACCGATCAAGGTTCCAGTCTTGGAGTTGATAGCATCCCATATCCTTGTAATTCTAACCTTCAACCTCCATTGATCTCTGATTGGAGATATTTGTCTCAGGTAATGGTGTCCCTGCATCATTAATCTAGAATACGATTTTTTATAAAAAGAAGTTAGATATTTGAAGTTAGGTATACTATATTTTTTGTGTACCCTTGATGTTCTTTTTCAGATTCTTGGACTAATATCTTCAAGCCTTAGCGAGAAGTAACCCTTGAGACAGCCACACACAATTGGCCATGACTGAACACTGGTTTTGGTAGATAAACACCAACATGTTTAAAAGTCTGACCTTCACTTTTATTGATAGTCATTGCAAAGCACAATTTCAATGGGAATTGCCTACGCATCAGAGTAAAAGGCCATTTTGTGTCAGTAGGGGACATGATTATACGGTGGATAAAAACTCGTTTACCAATATTGCTTCCAGTCACAACTTCAGCTTCAATGATCCTTGTTCCCAACTTTGTAATTATCAATCTTGTGCCATTGCATAGGCCTTCACAATGGTTTATATTTCGCAACAGAATAACAGGAACACCCACTTTCAACTCTAACTCATGATTAGGAATTCCAGGAAATTTTAAGGTGTTAAAAAATTCAGTTGGAAATAGAATAGACTGTTCATCAACGGAGCCTGAATCAGGACATAATTTATCAAAACTCAAGTACTTTTTGGACTCTCCATGAAGTTTCGATAGAATGTAATCATTAACCTTATCAACATCTTCATTGGTGGGAAACAAAATGGCTCTATCTTTCAAATAAGTAGGATCATTGTAGTTTACCATAAAGTCTGGATATGTGCATGAAACAATCTGGCAAATTGCATCTCTGCTTGGCTGCATAAAAAGATCTTCTGGAATTTTTATCCAACTTGGCTCTGCATCACAATTAAATGTTTGGCAGGGTAATTTCCCATCTCCAAGGTCCAAAACCCATTTACTAAATTCGTGTATTTACTGAATAGCATTAGAATCCATTGTAGGGTCTCGAAGTCGCATGTTGATTGTGAGTTTGTAAACCTTACATTGATGCCATAAAGTTGAGTCACTAATCGAAGTAGCAACTATATCTTCCCTACCCCCTTGAGGAACAACCGGTAATATCTGTCTAAAATCACCACCTAATGCCACTGTTTTACCTCCAAATGATTTGTTTGTGGAATTTGGCGCATGGAAGCGTAAAATATCTCGCAAGCTACCATCAAGTGCTTCAAAAGCATTACGATGAGCCATAGGAGCTTCATCCCATATAATAAGACTCGATTTGCATATTAGTTCTGCCAACTGAGTCCCTTGGTTAATATCACAACATGAGCTTTCACGAAGCTTAAATCTAGAATGTGCAGTTCTACCCCCAGGCAACAAAAGTGCTGCAATTCCAGAAGATGCCACAGCTAATACAATTTTACCTTCAGAACGCAATCGAGCAATAACGGTTCTCCACAAATAAGTCTTCCCTGTACCCCCACTACCATAAACAAAAAAGAACCTGCCATAATCAGAATAAACTGCTTCCAATATTGCAGTGTACACGACCTTTTGCTCTATATTGAGACCCGAATACAAAGAAAGATGTTCATTTTTGAGAGATTCTCGATCATATCTCAACTCATCCATAATCAATGTATTTCTACACATATTGATCAAGCTTATATCAGGAAAAGGAAGTGACTTGAACTCCCGCAGTGATCGACCATTCTTATTCATAATTTTTTCTATCTCATACAGGGCATGATTTTGCAATTGGTATGAAGATAAAAGAAGCTCTGAGTTACCAAGGGAGCACCTCTCTCAATATAAAATATCTTCTGACAAAATTTCCCAGTTTCTAATCCACAATGTGAAATGCTCTGTAACCTCACAAAATAGTATTAGTGTGACAAACAACTGTCTAAGTTGATGTCCAGAAGCCCACTGTGATGCTTCTTTTATAGCTTCATGCCATTCATCATCATTGTCTAGTAACCCCATTACAGCACTCGCTTCTTTGAAAGTTGGGTACAGAATCCCATCAATGGTTCTTATATCTTCAAAGCTTGTTGGTCCTCTAACAATGTTAAGTAGTAGTCGAAGATAATACCTTTCTCCTGAAGCGGAATGTGCATAGTAAATCCTTCTAATGCATCTACCATTTCCTCTTCTTTTCCATTGTTTCAAATCTTTCTTCCATGTCCATTTCATCGGAAACTCCGCATATGTTAAATGCCTTGCATCTTGAAATAATTGGTTAGCTCGCATCCATTCAGTGAATATAGTTTTCTCTACACCTGCTCGATTAACGATATCAACCAATGAATCATTATCACCAAAAATAACATTATGCTCACCAGAAAGATGGAAAGAAAATCTTTCCACCGCAGGATCACGATACTGGATATCTAATTTAAAAATCCTCCAACATGCTTCTGATGCTGAAACATAGCGACAATCCAAATATCTTTTTATCTCATCAACTTCTGTCAATGATGGCACACCCGTTTCATTATTGGTTGATGCATTTTCCTCAATTGTGAACGTCGCTCTATCATGACCCCTGTTAATATACTTGAATAAATACTTGATTGAACGACCTTGGTTGCAATGCTCAACATTAATATGGGCATCATATTTAACTACCAAGTCAACATTGTGCGGCACTATCCATCTATTGTCTACCTCTACACCATTTTTCAAAGCAGTTTGCCTGTCATCTCTTCTCTTATATATAGGAAATCCATCTTCATTTGCGATTGTTTGAGATCGAAAACTCTTGAGATAGTGCTTAGTACATTTGTCTTTGTCCATACATGGAGAATTCTTGTTGTAAGCACCGTATGGACCATGGACCATGTACTGGACAACTGCATTATATCCAGCATGTACTGCATTATATATGCTGTAGTATTAAATCAATTTAGATATTAAAAATGATAAAGTAAAATGTAAGATCTCATACCAGCAGTGTCATCTCCAAAGTGTTTTCCTGTACGTAAGTCATTTATCAATTCATCCAATTTGATTTTGAAAACCATAGCAGCAATATCTGGCCTATCCTCCAGCTTTCGTCCAGGGATGAGATCCAAGAATTTTTTAATCTCTTTCCATTTAGGATTGCAAGTGAATGTCAAAAAGATGTCTGGCGTTCCAGTCCACCTGCAGATAGCCATGGCATCTTGGTAATATTGCACCATATATCTTGGACTACCAGTAAAGCTTGATGGTAGTATGAATCGTCGCCCAAGTGAGGCTGGTGTGGTGTCTCCTCTAACCACTGCACCCTTCAAACCATTATACAATTCTGCTCAAAGTTGTGGTTGATTTCCCATTACCCATCTTATCCTACCGTCTTCCATGAATGTGAATCCATCAACAGAAAATTGCTGAAATAAACGTCCCCCACGAATCACAGTTTCACCTTCTTCATGTCTTTGTTGTAATCTAAAAGCAAGAGTGTCTCGAAAAGTAACAAACTTTCGCTTCATGGAAATTGTTTCATCTGCATCAACATACTCAATATCTGTTCGATTAAAATCCTCTCCATAGGGAAACAATATTGGATATTGCATTGCCATAAAACTCGGATGTATTTCTTTTATCTTTCTTAAACCAACTCCATATTCTTCAACAACAATATCTCTATCTCCAGATGATTGGCTTCGATCACCAACAATAATTGCTGCAACTTCAGAAGCAGATGGAAGATTATATTGTGTACTATCTCCTTTACGCTTTCCAAGTAACCTTATTTTTACTAGATGAAAATCAGTTTCCTTAAATCTATCTCTGGCCATTCGAAAAACTTTCACCAAAGGGTTGTGTTCATCCAACATATCAAGAAGTCCATCTACTTCCTCAATATCAAGGTCACTTTGAAAATTACTAGAAGACATGACACATGATCTGTTGGAGATCTCATTTTCCGTGTCATATATGTAAAGTTGAGCAAATTTAGGTGCTTAGCCTTCTCTAGGCAACAAAGATCCAATTTTATGGCGGTTTTGGCCATTGATACGATAGACATAAGGTCCATTTCCATTATTAACTTTACTGTCTACAATGCCTCCAGTTGAAGTGAAAGCAAATATAGAGTTACATGCTCGAATATTCTCTCTAAATTTATTTGAACGTTGACTTCCATTGTAGTGCAAGAATTCAATCAAAAATCAAATAGAAAAAATTATAAAAGACAAGAAATTAGAATCATCAAAAAAAAATTTGAAAAATATTAAAAAGAAGAAATATTCGATTAATCCATAAATTTTATTTATTTATAAAATTTTTTATTCAAAAGATATACATAGATATTTTTCTATATATCATTAAATATATCATTAATATTCCAAGACCCAATCCATAACTTTTTCTTGAATCAACAAAAAAAGGGGAAGAGTCTCTTTTAAAAGTAGCAATTTAACCTTTTCTTAAGAACAACATAATGAGAATTTAGATTGTCATGGCTTTTTTTTTTATTTTACTGTACATTCTTCGTACCAAAATATCGCACCACAGTAAGTGCACACTTCAATTGGATTTTCAAAATCCCATACTTCAAAAATATTTTCTATAAAATAAAATAAAATTGGCATCAAAATTAATGTATTAACATATCTTGTAATTAAATAGTAATTCAAAAATATAACTTATTTTTGTGGGTATTTTCTCTAACAATTGATTCAATAGTTTGTGTCCCATATAATTCTTCCATATCTTGTATCTATTGAATTGAAATTTTAAATGTTAATATAATTAATATATAAAAATAATAAAAGACTTATAATACAGTAATAATATAAAAAGTACTTTCAGAAGTATGATCGTCGAACAAATGTCTAATCATAAAATTATTATCAATTGTTTGACTTTCATCTCTTGAGGGGACAACAACATATGTAAGGTCATATTATTTGTAAGGTTAGATGCATGTTGTAGAAGAACCCTATCAAAATTTATCCCTGTGCTAATAGAACCATTTCTAATAGGAGTAAATGAAAATCTACTGAGTTGGGTTCGATCTTGAGAATGGTCATTTGTATTGATTATATGGCTTTGCAGGTAAGGATTATAATTTGGGTGAATGTTCTCTGTCAAGATGATAGAATTGTTGCCTAAAATGTTTTTAGTATTTTATGTTGCTCGAGTATTTCTTGATTGATATTTAGAACAATTTTCTACACCCATGATAGAATATGACCTTGAAAATCTATTTTCAAGTGTACGCGACAAAATATGTTGTGAACATTGCTTTTGTGTTAAAATTTGCCCTTCTCCTTTGTCTATTTAACTTTGTGTCTATACTACATATATATACTTAATTTAGTATCAACAAACTACAAATAATTTATTAAATAAATCATATAAATCCAGCAAAAACTAATAATATTTATATATATATATATAGATCAAATAAAATCAATTATAATTTTGCAAGAAAGGCAAAATGATAGTTAAGAAACAACAAAAAAATTTAAAAAAAAAAAAACAATTATCATAGTTCAAGAAATATAAATATAAATATAAAAAAAAAAAAACTTTTAAACAGTACAGATAAAAAAATAATGCAATGTGATCTCAAAGAACATTGTAAAAAAAAAAAGATACAAAGTGATAAAAGTAATCATTCAAATTAAAACTGTAAAAAAATTGTAACCATTCAAATTAAGTTTTCATTTTCATTACATGATAAAGTTAAAAAATAAAAACTAATCAAAGCACTCTTAATTTGAAATATAAATTATTAAAAAAATAGTAAGTGAAATGGGTGCGTGGAGCTTTACCTAGATGCAAAGTCAATGAAATTGGAGAATAGCCTTTCGTGTACTTTATCATATCATGATACCCTATCTATAATAGATTTTTTTTTTTTTTGGTTGAACATAATTAATAGAAAAGCTTTATATAAGTTTTAATTGCAAATTTATTTAGGCATAACTTACATAAAAAATGTTTTGGTGTAAGTTATGCAAACCAATTATAATGAGTTCCTTTTGAAAAAAATACCAACTTGTTTATACTTTTGTTTTGGAAAGTCCATACTTCACGCTCCATAAGTCAATATTTGAAATTTTAACCATACGAAAAAATATTAACCATTAATGAGCTATTTTTTTTTATTATTCAAGACCTTTTTTATAAAAAAAACACTTTCAATAACCCAATTAAAATTTATAAGGTGATTAATGAATGCATTTTTTACCATAAACGCCTTCAATAATCCATTAAAAAAAATTGAATTATTCAAGGCTTTTTTAGTAAAAAATACATTGAGTAATCACATCACAAAAATTTATGAAAAGATTATTGAAGGTGTTTTTGACCAGAAACGCCTTTAATAATCACATTAAAAAAAATTTTGGATTATTCAAAGTATTTTTTACAAAAAACGCCTTAAATAATCACATAATAAAAATTTTTTAAGGGATTATTGAAAGTATTTTTTATCAAAACGCCTTCACTAACCTCATTAAAAAAAAATTTTAGGATTATTCAAGGCATTTTTTTAAAATACCTTGAGTAATCACATCATAAAAAGTTATAAAATGATTACTGAATGTGTTCTTAGCTAGAAATACCTTCAATAACTCCATTAAATTTTTTTTTAGGATTATCAAAGGTGTTTTTGATGAAAAACGCCTTCAATAACCCCAATAAAAAATTTTCACGATTATTTAGGATATTTTTGTCTAAAAATGCCTTGAGTAATCGCATCATAAAAATATATAAGGGAATAATTAAAGGTATTTTTTGTCAAAAATACCTTCAATAACTCAATTAAAAAATTTTTTTAAGATTATTCAAGACGTGTTTGTCCAAAAATGCCTTAAGTAATTGCATTATAAAAAGTTATGAGAGGATTATTTAAGACATTTTTTGTTAAAAATGCCTTTAATAACCTCATTAAAATTTTTGTTAAAGATTATTTAAAGTGTTTTTGTCAAAAAATGCCTTGAGTAATTCTGTCATAAAAATTTATGAAAAGATTATTGAAGACATTTTTGGTGAAAAATACCTTGAATAATCATGTCATAAAATTTTTTTAGGGGATTATTGAAAGCATTTTTGGTCAGAAATGCCTTAAAAAATTTTTTCAGGATTATTCAAGACGTTTTGAGTCAAAAGCACCTTGAGTAATAATCACATTAAAATTTTTTTTTGAGATTATTCAAGGCATTTTTGTCCTAAAAAGCATTGAGTAATCACGTCATAAAAATTTATGAAATGATTATTGAATGTATTTTTGGTCAGAAACGCCTTCAATAAACCCATTAAAATTTTTTTAAAGGATTATTCTCCAAAAATACTTTCAATAATTTTTTTTATTTTCAGACATGCTTTTTAAAATGGTAACGACTATTTCAAGTGTTTTTATTCAGGTCAAATTTAAAAATAACACTATTTTTTTCCCTTAGAATCTTAGAATATCACAGAGAGAAGTAAGTTTTTTATTCTGAGACTTTGGGTACTGTTGAAAATATATCAGATTTTTTTGAAATCAAATGACCCTGAACCAAACATTGGAATCAAATATCCAACAGTAAGATTTTGAGAAAAAATGTGTGGATTCTCCTAAACCAAATACCTCAAAAAAAACCAACATATCAATAAGATTATAAATACCAATTAGAAGATATGGAAAAATATTAACCATTAATGAGCTTTCTTCTTAAATTTTAATTTTTTGTATTAATGATCAAATTAATCATAATTCACTCATAGAAGGCAAGAATATTAGATCTTCAAAACAAATAAATTTAATTAAAATAAATTATTTTTAAATTAAAAATATATTAAATTAAATCAAATGCATTAATCAGTGGACTCATGATTTTAACATAGACTATCCACATGTCAAAAAAGTAGATTATTCACATAAAATTTTTTTTATTTTTGCCAAAAGCTTTGACTTTTATATATTTATACGAGGTTTATTTTAAATTCAAAAAACATTAGATGAGATAAGCTAGCTTAATATCTCTTTTATTTTTTTATATATACAAACTATTAATCATTAATGCATATAATTTTTTACTTCTAATCTACTTTAGATCTTCTCTTGCTGGCAAAGATTTAGGACCATTTTGTAAAATGTTAGAAAACATCTTAGATAAAACTATTTAAAGATGTATTTTATTTTCTTGTTTTGAAAAAAAAAATATTGTTTAACAATTTATTTATATACAAAAATCAGTCATAATTTTAAATAAAATTATTTATTTAATGTTGTTTGTTTTATAATATTTATAAATCAATAGAATTTATTATTTTGTAAATTTATTTTTATTTGTATATTACTTTCATCCATAAATATATATTTTCATGAATATAAATATAATAAAATATATCTAACAAAATATAAGATCAAGTATAATATTATTTGATCTTTTAAAATCTAATGTCAGATCCGTCGTGCAAAGAATAGGGACTTCAAAATTCATTTAATCTACAATTTCACAAGGTCCTGATCTGACAGTTTTATACACGATATGATAATATAACATAAAATTAACATGAAAAAAATTATATATAAATTTAGTATAATCATATTTCATATTTTAATCATGTCGATATGATTAAAATGTGATATTATTTATGTCGTGTTCATGTTAAACAGTAATGATATGTTTAAGATACGATATTATTTATAAATTTTAATTTATTTAAAAAATAAATTAATAATCATATTTATCATATCATTTTGGTGTTTAAATAAATTATAATTTTTTAATTTTTTGTTTAAATATTAATTTAAATGATATTTTCTGTTTAAATAAATAGATTGATTGTGTCTAATCGTGTTATTTATATATAATCATGTTAATCGTATCGTATTGCATTTGGGTAATTAATTGTATCTAATTATATTATTTGTATATAATTATATTAATTGTATTGTATTATATCGTGTTAGTTGAATATTAATTAATTTTAATTGTATTAATTATCTCGTGTCACATATAATATTTATGATAAACGTATTATATTTGTGTTTAAATTATTCATATATTTATATCATTTTATGTTAAAATTATTTATATTATATCTAAAATTATATTTAATATAAAATATAATATGATGACATAAATTATAATTCGGCGACACAAATTATTGACTAATAGCAATCCAAGACAATAACTTATTGCAATTGCATATCTTGAATCATATCCCTTTCCCTTTTTTTTATTTTAATAACTATCAATTGCAAGACTCGTCATCATACCATTGGCAAACAAAAGGCATCCAACTTTGAGGGTCGCCATGATTTTGTCTATACAAAGTCCTGATCCTATCTTGAGTCGTATCTTTGAATGCCTCCATTAGACCCTACAACCCAGCAATTTAAGGAATCTATTATTTTTTTCGTGAATTTATAATTGAAGGAAAAATTACAACTATAAATCATTTCTTGCATCTTATGTAAAAAATCAATGAATTAGATCAATTAAATAAATTAAATTTTAATTTTAATTTTAATTTAATTAATTTATATAATTATTTTTTAAAAATAATATTTAATAATTTTAAATTTTAATACTTATAATATTTTTATTTCTTATATCACGACTTTTATATAAAAAATCAAACAAATAAATTAAATAATTAATAAACTAACTTATAATTTGATAATTTGAATATAAAATTAAATCAAACTTAGGTATGACAGAACTTAAACCTAACTAATGTCTTTGTAAAACTTAAATTATTAGCAAAATCAAGCTTCAACACCCCATGTTTATAACAATCACAGCTACGTATTAGTCCTTTCCATGAACATGGCATCTACATGTATGATACGTACTATGCTTTTCTGCAATTGTTAGGATGTAAATGTTTGTATTTTGTTTTCGAACTATAAAAGGATTAGTCAGAATTGGTCCCATACGCAACCAAAGTTAATTTATTGCGAGGCTGACTTAGGCATGATTGGGATTCAATCGTGTCCATCGTTTGCTGAGATGAAGCCTTCTTTTGATGTAAAACGTGTCGCAGATTTTTGTTGTTTTGTTTGGGTAACACAGTTACGGCACGACTGTGCTGGCATGGCACCGGTGAAAGCCTAATTGTCTACTAGTGAGAAAGAGATGTGGTGAGCCATCGCATCTTTTTTTTACTCTTTTATCCTCTTAATATTCTTTTATTACCATTTTATCAAAAAAATTGATAATTTAATTATACGTATTTAAAAAATTATTTGATATATTATTATCATTTTATTATTTTTTAATTATTTATTAAAAATTTTATTATTTGACATAAATATAATTTTAGTATTTTTAAATTATTTTCATAAATGTCAAGTAATTAAATTTTTTATTATATATAAATTTTAATCTAATATTTTAATAATTATAGTTTTCATCACAATTTATCTCGTCATCCTCGTTATATTTGCATCCAAATGTATATTTTCATCATGAATTTTAATCTCGTTGTTACAATAATAAATTTTATCATTATAATAATTAATCTCACTTTTATTTTTTTTAATCTTATCAAGATCAATCTCACCATTTATCGAAATGAACCCTTAGTAATTGGAGGGTCAAGCCTCTTTAGCCGGGTCTTATTTTCTAATTCCTTTTTATTTTTTGGCATTTATTTTATTATCATTTTTTAAAAATAAAATTTTAATTTAACAATTAAGTATTAGGCTATGATTAAAAGTGATGGCTAGCGAAGAAAATTCATCATATGAAATCCTAAAGTTTGATAATAAAGACGTCACTTTTTGAAGAATACAAATCGAGAATTATTGATATGATAAAAAGCTACATCTATCTCTTTTGAGTACAAAACTGAAAGAATATCAAACAACAATTGAAATTTTCTTGATCGATAAATGTTAAAAGTCATTCGGCTAACACTACTAAAAAACTTGGCTTACAGAGTGACAAAGAAGAAATCAATTGCGGGTCTGATGAAGGTACTATCTAATATGTATGAAAAACCATCTATGAATAACAAAATTTTTCTCATAAAGAAAGAAATTGCTTAGGTTGAAATGGAAAAAGAGGCTCTAATGACAACGCATCTTAATGAGTTTAACATGATTGTCAATCAAATTGTCTTCTGTTGAAATTGATTTTAACGAGGTTTAACCCTAATTCTTTTGTGGATCTTGGAAGGGCATGAAAGTAGTGACTCGTAATTCTATGGGCAATGCGAAGCTAAAATTCAATAATACCAAGAATTGAATTTTTGTTGAGGAAGTTCGTAGAATTTATTTGAGAAACATCGATATCGAGTTTTACTTTAAATCTTGTAAAAATTTTAATCGAAACAATGATAAATCAAAGTCGAGAAACGAAAGAAACAAATCTAAATTTAGGTGAAAACTATAAAATTTTTGTCTAAATCCAGACTGGAACTAGATTAACACGTGAACAAATCTATCCATTCACGATAATACTAAAGCCTAAAACTTTAAATTTTTACAAATTCCTTATTAGGATAGCTAAATTTGGCAATGGTCCTATGTCTAAATTTTTATGATGTGAATTAACGGCTGCTTCCAGTGACCCTATTCATCTATTCTCTCTCTTTCCAATTTTTCTTTTCTTCTAAATTTGTAATAATAAGTCAAATGATAATCATAAGTTCTTACTTACCATTGTTTTTCAACTATTTTTATCCAAAATATTATTTTTTTAATAATGATCTTAATTTAATGAGGCAAATCTGATTTTTTTTTTTTCTTTTGGGCATCGACTCCTCTAAGTCTTCTCTTCAAATCAATATCTAATGGAAGGGGTAGATACCCAGCATTCACTTGCATTTGTTTCTTCCTTTATATTTTACTTTTAAATGAATAATTCACTTTCATTTTTTTCTATTTCTACTTTATAAATCTGGTCGTTACAAAGTATCATTGAAAAGATAAACCAAAATCTTAACCAACAACGTTTCAAGGAGAGGCAAAAATGGAAGAGCTTAAGCCAAGGCCCGCAAGTTCTTCCCCTCTCACCCCGTTAGGCTTCTTAGAAAGAGCAGCCACCGTGTACGGTGATTGCACTTCCATCATATACAATAACACTTCCTACACGTGGTCACAAACTCACCGTCGATGTCTCCAGCTAGCTTCTTCTCTCTCATCCATCGGCATCAAAGTGGGCCATGTCGTCTCCGTTTTAGCCCCCAACATCCCGGCCATGTACGAGCTTCATTTTGCTGTTCCCATGTCTGGTGCTGTTCTCAACAGCATCAACTCCCGTCTTGACGCCCGTACTGTCTCCATACTCCTACACCACTGCGAATCAAAGCTCCTCTTTGTTGATTGCCTTTCTCAGTCTCTAGCCTTGGAAGCCATCTCTTTGTTTCCTCCTAACGAAAACCCCCCACTTCTTGTCCTAATCAAAGATGATTATGATGATGCTGAGAGTTCCAATTTGTCATCATCCACCGTTGATTCTCGCTTCTGTCGCACATACGAGAGCCTGATGGAGAAAGGTGATCCTGATTTCAAGTGGGTTAGGCCTCAAAGTGAGTGGAATCCGATTGTTTTGAACTATACATCAGGTACGACCTCATCTCCTAAGGGAGTAGTTCATAGCCACAGGGGAATTTTCATGATCACACTTGACTCTTTAATCGATTGGGAAGTTCCAAAACAACCTGTCTACTTGTGGACACTCCCAATGTTTCATGCTAATGGGTGGAGTTTCACTTGGGGCATGGCCGCTGTTGGTGGAACCAATGTTTGTGTACGAAAATTCGACGCCCCTACCATCTATGGTTTGATCAAGAAACATGGTGTCAGTCACATGTGTGGAGCGCCTGTCGTGCTTAACATGTTATCAAATTCTCCTGAAATTAAACCACTCCAAAGTCCTGTTCAAATCCTCACAGCTGGAGCTCCACCGCCGGCCCCTGTGCTTTTCAGGACCGAGTCACTCGGTTTCATAGTGAGTCACGGCTATGGATTAACCGAAACAGGAGGGCTGGTTGTGTCTTGTGCTTGGAAAAGGGAATGGAACAAGTTGCCAGCGACAGAGAGAGCGAGGCTGAAAGCAAGACAAGGAGTGAGATCTCTGGGTATGACAGAAGCCGACATAGTGGATCCTGAGTCAGGACTCGTTGTAAAACGAGACGGATCAACTCTGGGGGAGATAGTTTTGAGAGGTGCCTGTATCATGTTGGGGTATCTAAAAGACCCAAATGGAACAAACAAATGCATGAAAGAAAATGGTTGGTTTTACACTGGAGATGTTGGGGTGATGCATCCTGATGGATATATGGAAATCAAAGATCGTTCAAAGGATGTTATAATCAGCGGTGGAGAGAATCTAAGCAGTGTTGAAGTCGAGTCAATATTGTATTCTCACCCAGCAATCAATGAAGCAGCGGTCGTGGCCAGGCCAGATGATTATTGGGGAGAGACTCCCTGTGCTTTTGTGAGTTTGAAAGCTGAGTTAACTCAGAAACCAAGTGAGAAGGAGATAATAGAGTATTGCAGAGCTAAGATGCCACACTACATGGTTCCCAAAACGGTGGTGTTTAAGGAAGAATTGCCCAAGACTTCCACTGGGAAGATTCAGAAGTTTGTACTGAGAGATATTGCAACGGGTCTGGGTTCATCATCTTCCTCACCGGTGAGTAGAATGTGAGCTGGGTTGAATCGAGTTATGTAGTCATTGTCGTTTTGCATTAGTCTTGATCAGCAAGTTAAACATTGGATTGTCGTTTTATGAAATACTAGTGCTTTTACATTTCCAAGAAAGTGGCGCACCGAACAAAAAAGTCATGGGAAGAGGAGGATTATCTTAGCATATCTTCTGGAAAGAGCAGAAATGTTTTAGGATTACTTGATAGACGGTGAGGCTTATTATTTATTAAAAATTTATTAATATTAAAAAAATAGTGATATTTTAATAATTATATTTAATATAAAAATATTATATTAATACTAAACACTTAAAACAAAATCATTTATTACTATTTATTTTATTATTTTAAAATATTTAAAATTGTATTCTTATTATTCTTAAAATATTTAAATAATAATATTTTATTGTTTTAGTAATTATTATATTATTAAAATACTCATATTACTAAAATAATAATAATTAAAATATTATTATATTAAATAATATTATATATGAAAATACTATTATTATATTAATTTTAAAATAATAAAAATATTATTTTACTATATTAATATTATTCTTTTTATTATTTATTATTAAAATTACAATATAATACTATTTATTATTGACTGTTGAAAATATTTATATTTAATAATATAGAAACTACACAATACAAATATTTAAAATTAAAATATTAGAATAATTTTAAAATTAATATTTAATATTTTCAAATGTTTTATTAAAATTAAATAAATATATTTTTATTAATACAATAATATTTTTAGTTAGATCAAATTAATCTAAGCTTAAACAATTATGTTCAAAGTTCAACTTAAGTAAAATTATAAAAATATTTAAAATTAAAATAATATAATACTTTTAATATTAATTTTTAAAGATTTTAATTAAAATTAATTAAAATATTATTATCAATATAATAATTTTGTAATTAAGATCAAATTAAGCATAAACTTAAAAAATTATGATCAAAATTCGACTTAAATAAAATTATACTCCTTACCCAATAATAAAATTTTTTCAAAAATTATCTTTTGTTTTCAAAAAAAAATTATTTTTAAAAAATCTTATTTTTCATTAGCCAATAAATTTTCTTACCAAACAAACATAAAAAAAAAAAAAATCTAAAATTATTTTCGTTTAAACTTTACCACTCCAACACTAAAAAAGAGGAAAATGGTCTCTTTCAGGCGTTTTATTATTGTATGATTTTATTCCCATAACAGATAAGGTCTGCCCCTTTCCTATTCTATTATCCATCCCCTTAGCGTTATCCGCATCCACTTTCTGACAACAACTACCAAACTATCACGCAACACGTGGTACGGTGTCGGATTGGGTCCTCACTAGACATTCACGCATTAATTTTATTCATAGCACGCATTTGGTGCGAGAAGCGAAAGTCTTTTTTAACGCTTTTGATTTCAAAATTTTATATCAATAAATATATAATACATAAAAAATATATATATTTGTGCCGCGCTGACGATGAGTGATAAAAATCCTACAAATAAAAAAAAATTTAGTCAATACAATGATTGTGATATATTATTTCAACGTTCAAATCAAAATTTATATAAAAAATAAAAAATAAAATAAAATAAAAGTTGGAAATTATCAGTTTTAATTAGTTTAAAAATATTTAAAAGAGGTTATTTATAATTGTATAACGTGAGATTTTGTTAGAGTTTAAATAGGATCAAGACGAGTTTTTATTAGTCTTGAATTTGATTTAATTTAAAATTTTTTTTATTTTTTTATATTTGAATTTGATTCGATCAGATATTATATAAATCATATCTGATTTAATTCGATTAAAATTAATAAAATATTATTTTTTAAAATATAAATATATAATTAAAAAATTAAAAAATAATTTTTTATATAATATCATATCGAATCAAGTTTATTTAAAACTCAATTTAACCTGACTCGAAACTTGATTTAAAAAATATATATATCTTATAAAATCAAATTGAATCAAAATTCGTCGATTACAAGTTAAGCTACCAACCTTAGATTTTGCACCTAATTTAGCCAAAGGCCGGCATAAGTGATTAGAGTTGATCTCATAGACAAATTGACAATTAATTATCCACTTAAATAACAATAATTCAACACCTATATGTGTTAATAAATAAGTTATTGAGATGATTGAATTAATATAAATCACGAGATTTTATGTTGATTTGATACATCAATTTTAATTAAAATAATTAAAATATGATTACTTTTTTAAACCTTAAAGTAACGCTAACAATATAAATATATAAATAATAAAATATATGTATATACCTATAAATGTAACATGGTCAATTCAAAGGCTTGTCAGTAGTAACCTTAGAAATAAAATTTGTGTTAATATAAATAAGAAAAAAATATGTTTTACTATATTAAAAAAATATTGAAAAAACTTCGTGCAATATTTTATTGGTAACGAAATTGACAATCAACCAAAGGGCTAAGCAGCATCTCCTTGATGCTAGAGATGTTGGTGGCGAATTAAGAAATTTCAATCGACATAAGATTTGATTGTCCGTCTTTTGTCTTAATTTTTATTTTTATTTAAATTTTAAGATAGATAAATTATTTAATTTATTAAATTAAAATAAAATATATTGTATTTGATAATCTAAAATAAATAATTATAAATCAAATATTCGATATGTTTTTAATAAACGATCATCGATAATATTCAAACTTAAAATTATTCTACGAAAAAAAAAATTTTTACTAATTTGATCAACCATTTGTTGGTAACCTTTTGTCTTAATTACTCGTTGTATGATTATATATATTTATAAACGAAATTAAAAATTAATAAATATATTTTTATTATATAAATTTTTTATTTTTTTAATATATCCAAAGATGTATATGTTACCTTTCTAATTTTGATAGTGAAATTTAAACTCTAAGGATAGTGGATGCAAAAATAATCTTCAAAATTTAAATAAAAATTTTAAGTTTGATTTTATAGTCTTTTTAGTGGGGTCATATTTCAATTTTCTTTATACAAAAATGATATTATATATATTATTAAAAAATATGTTAAATCTTAAAGTTTTTCATTATGATTGGTGTGAAGGATAAAAAATAAAAAGAGTGAAAAACGAAACGGGTAAAATTATAAATAAATTTATTAAATTAAGTTGAAGAAATATTTTTTCTCACATTTTAGATTTGTAGAGAAAAAATTGTACAAATTCACTAATTTTTCTTCATTCATCCCATTTTCCTTTTATTAAATGAAAAAAAATAAAAAATAATTTTCTTTTTCACACTCCTTCCTTCCAATCAAATACTGTAAAATTTTATCACAAAACAAACAAAATTTTCATATAAAAAATTGTTTTGGTTCTCTCTTGAACAAACTACATTGTTTAGCAATCCATTATGTTTTTATTAAAAAATTAAAGCTCCGAAAGTTTATGTGTGGATAATGTAGATGGTTTCAAGGAGTGATTATAAATAAAATTTTATTATTTGTGAATTCATGTCACATTTCGGATTAAATACGTAAGATATTGATATTTTAATCAAAATTAAAATTCGAATTAAAATTTAGAACCGAAAACCTTCAATCTCGATTTCTCTCTTCATATAAGGAATTAGAAAATAATCTTTATATGGATTTAATTCTCTTTGAAAGAGAAACAAAATTCCTTAATCAATTTCGAAAAATAAATATTAGAATTTAAGATTTGTTGACAACTTAATTTTGCCCCAAATAAGCAATTCATCCAAAAATAAATTAACTAACTTGATTTTAAGATCCTAATGTCACACAATCTGGATCTAATACTACATGTAATGTCTAACTCTAGATCATTGTGTCAAAATTATAACATCATAATTAATTAATGAGATTTGGCATAAGTATTTGAGTGGTTATGATGAATTCGCAAAAGCAAAATGATCATTGAAGTGGTTAGGTATTCCTTTTTGCTCTTCTCTTATTAGCAATACTCAATAGACAGTTGTTGTAACTTGTAGAAATGAAAAGGAGAGCTTAGCCTAATTAATTAAACAACTCTAGAAACCTCTTCATCAAAAGCTTATTGAGTTGAAGGCATACACAATCGTTAAATCACATTAATTCAATAAAATATGCTAAACACATATTTAAGTGATCATATTAAATTATTTGGACTCTCATGCTTATCTTGTATTATGATTAAATTTATCATTCGATTTTATTATTGAATTTATATTTAATACATTATCAGTTTATAAATTTTATACATTGTTAATAAATCAGATGATATTAACTCATTGATGAATAAGTTTTTTTAAAATAAATTTTGTATATTTATTTTAAGGATTGATATTCACTCATTAATAAAATGACATAATGCGATTCATTATCAGTATATAAAATTTATACATTAATAATACATCAAATATAAATTCTTATTAAATTATTAAAAATTATCATTTAATAATAACCCATTAAAAAAATTCTAATAATAAACCCATTAATCACTTTGGACAACACTAGTTTTGAAAAAAATAAGATCGATTGAATCAAAATTGATGGACTGTTTGATCAAAAGATATGTATTAAACTGTTTATCAATGGAACCAATCAATGTCCAATTGAACCGAAAATGGATGACTGCTACAGGTTATAACTTAATCAAGAGAGCTTATTCCTCTCATCACATTCGACTTGATTTAATTTTGAATTAATCGAAGTTTAAAATAACTACTAAACACCGAGAGATTTCAGACAAAAAAAATAATATTTTTTTATAAATAATAAGAATTAATTTTTATAAATTATAAGTAGAATAGAAATTACAATTATAATTAAATATTATATAATTGAATAATCAAACTAACTAACTAATCAATGTTAACTAGAAAATTTTAATATAAAATTAAATCAAACCCATACATAATAAAATTTAAATTTAAGATCTCAAGGTTCTAAATAGACTATTCTTAATGAAGAGAATGGAACATAAAACACATCCAAAAAATTTCCAATATATCCGTAATATTATTTTGTTTTTCTATCTGAGAAAAAGAGTGCAGTAAGTGTAGTAGTAGGTTAACAAAATTCAACTGCAAGAGTAATAGGCTTATTGAAATAGGATTTATTAATGGAAACACATGAACATTTTTCTCCAACAGTTGCCCTAAATATTTTTGTTAATTCAAAATTAGATCAGATAATTTGAAACATGACATGTGATATGATACAAAAATGATACTAATAAAAAATACAGACATGACATAACTTAAAATTTTAAAAAAATCATAAATAAGTTTAATAAAATAAAAATTTTATATTTTATATTTTCGTATCAACACGAACTGTAACATTTAATTTTCATATAAAATATGATACGAATACAGTATTTTACACAAACTAGTCACATGAACTGCCAGGATTATTCAAAACTCAAACAACCCTACAATCATTTCCTATAGGGACTCCAAAACTGAATGATGGAAAATAAAATAGTTCAACTAAAATTTTCCGTTTTCCTCTTATCTCCCTGAATTGATACAAAATGTTATCGATCAACCTCGTTATAAAAATTTCATGAAAGAGCTTACACTGAAGTACTCTCTTTGGTTCTGAAAGATTTCTACAATAGTTCATTTGCTAATTAGTCAGTCTAGTTCTTGTAATCCGGATTATCCCTGAGACCAAGCTTTGAGAGAACAAGACAATAGGAATCCCAGTCAGTTCTTCGGAGATACTTCAACAACTTCTTCCTCCTCTGCACCATTGCTAGAAGACCTTTCCTTGAGTGCTTATCCTAATCAGTAATGATTAAAAATAAAATATATCAAATGCATTTTATTAATAAATAAATTTCCATTAAAAAAGAGCACCACTCATGTTACCAACCAGGATATACTTCACTGCTTCTAATGACAACGAAATGCCATTTAGACCATGTCTGGTATACAAGATTTTGATAGGATAAGATATGATGATATTATGAACAAGATTAAATTAAATAATGTTATCTTATTTTATGTTAGATATATGCAACGATTAGGATGTGATAATTTATTTTTTTGTCAAAATTATCCTTCTTCTAAGTTTATACAATTTAAATTATTGATGTAATTTTCAAGGGTATAATTGAACATACAAGTTTAATCCCATAAATTAAAAATAATCCAGTCCACTTAGAGAGGATTAAATAATCCTATGCCAAAGGGACATTAATTCTCCTTGTAATCCTTATCTCTCGTTTTATATATAAATCAAACATGAAATAGGATGATTATCATCCTATCTTATTAATAATCCTATGCATCAAATATAACCTTAGTATTACAAACCCGGATCACATACAGTCATATCCTAAATGACAGAACTGGCAAAATGGAGTGAACTCCAGTTCCATCAAAGCTGCTGCTCCTACAACAAACAATTGCAGTTTTTTGCCATGCTGATCTAGCTTCGGGTATAAATATGATTGCTACAGCCAGTTAAAACCTTGAGACATTCAATTACATCAGCTCTTTTGTTTCCCTCCACACCAAATCTTATTATAGTGACATCTCATATTACACTGTTGATCGGCTACTTTGACATTAACAAAAGTTCTGAGGTAATTAAGACAAATTTCCTGCTTTAACAATGATCCAAGATTTGATGGCCTATGGTTAATGAAAGAAAAAGCAAAACAAATAAAGAGCTAGTGAATAAAGATCATTGCACAGTGTCAGATCTCTAACATTTTAAACCACGTATCTGGTATCCTCCAAACACATGAACGCCAAAAAATTGACAAAGCATTGGACAATTTATTATTTCAAGAATATGGTAATATTTATGGAAAACATTGATAGAAATGTATTTGTGTTTCTCTTTTTTCTTCGTTTAGCAGGAAAAGAAAGGTACACTAAAAGTAATGGAAGGACACAAGGGATATTGATAAAGGATAATCAGAAAAATGCTTTTACAGGATAAACCCATCAATAGCAAAGGATGGAAGTAGGGCTCTTTGGAGAAAGAGATATCAAAGTTATTTAGATCAATGTAAACACATCTATTACGTATCCCTAAGAGATCAAGGTTCTTTCCCTTTTTTTTTAACATAAGCTACAAGGTTGTACATGCTGATCACTCAACATTTGCATGAGAATAGCCACTATCACTTCCAAAAAGCCATCTTGTAATCCATTCTTATTTCAACCAAGAAGGTGAAGTAAAATAGGAAATGACATAATATTGCATTAAAAAGCAACTAAATATAATGAGAATCTCAGTTTTAATGTTACCTTTTTATGCAGAACCGATGACAGATGTTTGATCTTGGTAGTGAGTTGTGCCACTGCAGAAAACCACCAAAAGGCATCAATGGCCCGAGAATAAAAAGATCATTAATGATGAAAAACAGTACATGTGATCAAAAAACTTCCAGACTACAGCAATAATATCAAAATCTTTAAGTAATCGTCAACTCTGAGAAAAATTTCATACTTTCATCCTTCTATGATCCAATTGGTGAAGTACGAGATAGAATAGCAAACTAATCTAACTAATCTAACAGTCAAATCTCTATTACTTATGAGTTTAGTACCAAAAATAAGAAAACAAGTAACATACAAGTATTACCAAGGATCTGTAAACATGCGACTTAAGACTAAACTTGAATCGTATAATGCTTAGCAACTCCTCTAAGCATCATAGTCTTAATCAAAGGCTGGTAAATATTTAAGAGAAATACAAAAGGTTTTCAGCTGGATGGATGTTTACTTTTCCCGTGTGACTTTCTCACAATCAGAACTCCAAGCATGCACTGGATAGCCTTTACCAGTCCATTATTTTCAAGGCTGTTAAGGCTCCAAAGGATCAAAACAGGGACTTCATTTTTAAAAAAAAAATAAAAATAAAAATAAAAATTCCCCTAACTAATACGCATTTCTTGTCTCCCAAATTTTAGAAAGACCTCAAAAGTTAATCTTACAGCTATGTATCTGACAAAATGCTACTTTGATCCCTTTAATCAGATATTAAAATACTTAATTATCATAATTTTGCATTCTTTATCTATACAAAAATCAATTATCCAATAAATAAATGTTAATTAAACATGTAAAAAACCATAATAGCACAAAAAGCTTTTTCTAGAGAGAATACAAAATGGTACTTACTCACCAAATATAAACATTTAAAAAGTTCTCTATCTTCTCAGCAATCACAGTCTGCACTACCATTCCAAAAAGAACACCCTTTTGGAATGTTGGATTCAGCATACCAGATGATAACATCTTTTTGCATAGTATATCCATGCTAAGTTTATTTTCAATTTTATCTTCTTACCCATTATTTAATAGTACAAAGCGACAATTTGAGTTACAATAAACGAAAGCTTTTCTAATTTAACATTTGCAAAAAGGTAATTAGAGCATGGAAGGCTTTTATACTGTTCAACTAAAAAATCTGAGGAAAATTCAAATAAAGTAGCTACAAGCATGCATGTGAAAAATTAAGGTTATAGTCTACGGCACAATAACACTTCACCTTGAACACGTGCAGATCCACAATCTGACTCTGACGTCTTAAATTCATCTCTAACTTTTGCAAGCTCAATTTTTAGTTTTTCAGCAGAAGACATGTTATCTGGATGGAAATACTGCAAAAGCATTGTAAGAGTATTAGGGTTTAAATATTGATGATTTTAGTAAATAAAACTACCAAAATAATTCAATCATAGTAACCTAGGGATAGGTTGCTTGATTAGCACAAGGATACCAGCACTGACCTTTAGGTCAACAAATTTTGTCCAAAACAGTCTTACTAGAGGTCAGTCACTTCAATCATCTAAAAGATTAAAAAAATAAAAGATAGAAAGTACAAGAAGAAATTAAGCACCTTAAACTTTTTCAAGAGTATCCGCTGAAAAATTTTTGTATAAAAAACGAAGCAAGCATCAAATAATAATGAATTTCTTTTCATATTTCCAATTCTATTAACAAGAAAATGTGCACCGGAAGAAAGAATATGAAATAGGATGTATGGGAAAGCCAGCTCCTGATTAATATAAGAATATGTGCAGTATGAGTTATGCACAGGAACAAAGAATATGAAATAGGATGAATACGAATAGGATGAATACGAAAGCTCCTGATTAATATAAGAATATGTGCAGTAGGAGTTAGTATGACGGTTAACCACACAGACTCAACTTCAACTATCAATTAGTAAAGGACACAAGAAGAAAAGGGGAAAAATAAACTTGCCTTTTCAACTAAATGCTCCTTTGGAGGCTGCAACATAAAATTTGGAGTTCTACCCAAGTGGTCCAATATATCAATTCTCTGGACTGAAACAACAAGAGATCAATATATTATATGATATTAGACATGTCAACTTTCAGTGCTTAGAGGATGTCACACATGATCCCTCAGTACAAGCAACATTCAATCAAATAAAATCTCAGATTCCACAGCCCACGAAAAAGAAAATCTTTAGACAACTAGATAACATTTATAGTAATTTTTCCTTCAGAAAGAAACCAGTAAACTTAAGAAAATGGACACTTGAACCGATCTCCCTACTTAGATTTCTGACCCAAAAAACTAACTGAGAGTAGAATAGTTCCACTGATTGAGTCATATAAAAGATTTGATTTACCATGATGGATTTTAGTTTTGAACCCCCAAAGAAATACAAGAATTTGAAAGAAATTCGAAATACTGTTCTCAAAGTTTTTAGCTGCAAGCAGTGTGTTATATATCAGCTACAATGAAACTGTTGCCGCAGCCATCTGGTTTTAAAAAACAAACAATAAACTTTAGGTGAAACACCAAAAATCAACAACAAAACCCTTCCTATAGATTGACTAGTAAAAGCAGAAAGGTTTTAGTTTGAGCCTTTATCCTTGAAAAAAAAAAAAAGAAAGAAAACAGAAAAGCTATATTTTCTATCAACCTCAATAGATTGTTCATAGCTAAAAATCAACAACAAAACCCTTCCTATAGATTGATTAGTAAAAGCAGAAAGGTTTTAGTTTGAGTCTTTATCCTCGAAAAAAAAAAACAGAAAAGCTATATTTTCTATCAACCTCAATAAATTGTTCATAGCTAAAATCACCAAGAATCTTCTTTGAGTCCTCCACACTCAGAACTTTGATTCAAGAAGAGGCCTTTACCACTTATGCTCTTTTTTTAATTCCCATTTCATAAAAAATCACAGACTTCCAGTTTATTACATTCATTCACATCATTGAGAATCAAACTTAGTGATTTCCCCTTTTCATCTATTGACATTGAATGCAAAATTTAAGATTTTCTACCATCAATCCTATGAAACAACGCAAAATACGTTATGCTAACTGATGTAAGACATAAGAAATTCATAAGTAGAAATCTTACGGGACGTTTTTTTCTGTTTCTCGTCCTCAGACATCTTTAGCTTAGACAAGCTCTCCCTCAAATCCTTAAACAAAACCCCACCAATCCGCGACTCAGTCTCCTTCTCCTCCATCTCCCTCAACTTCATCAACCTTTCATTCAACTCCCGCAAGGAAAACCACCCTTCCCCTCCCTTTGCCTTTGGCCGCAACTCCTTCAACTTCAGCCCCAACTCTGTATAACCATACATCTTAACAAAATCTGTCTTCATCGCAGCCTGTCTTCCCTTGGTCATCTCCTTCATCTCCCTCCCAAAAACTGAGGTTGGCAGCTCGCTCGACGACCCTCCAATCACCGGGCGGACCACATTGTCATCCGAAGGCTTCGACTTTAAACTATCCTTAAATTCAGACAAAGACAAAAACGACCCCGGTTTTCTTTCCACATTATTCGCCTCAGAATTCGATCTCATTTGCCGTAGACTATTCCTTATAGCATCAAACGACAATTTCCCACCAGGACTGGAACTGTCAGGGCTTTCATTGGACACCCCCTGTTTTGCTAAGACGTTCCGTTTGTATAACTCTTGGAATGAAATACGGGGCTGTGATTGTGAAGGTGTTGGAGAGGACTCAGTGGGAGGCGGCGCGGCGGATCGTCGGCGGAACTCGGAGAGATTCTTGCGGATTTCCTGTAACGAAGCGCTCATGGACATGGGTTTGGAGGATGGAGTTGAAGGATATGTGGGGTTTCTGGGTCTCTCTTGCTTTTGTTGTTGTTGTTGTTGTTTAAGGCTGGCTTTGACATCGCTGAAGTAAGAAGAGACTGAAGGGGGATTATTGCTGGAGTAGTTGTCGTTGGCGGTGGCTTTTTCGTTGTTTGGGTCATTTGAGGAAGTGGAGAAACGGTGGAGGAGAGAAGGGTTGGTGAGGGATCTGCGTTTGGACCTGGCCAGATGGAGAGCCATAGACATGTGGGGATCGGAAGAGAGCTGTTGTTAGGGTTTTAGGGAGAGGTGAAGCGAGTGAAAGGAACCGGCTCTCTTTTAAATGATATATTATAAATTTTAAAATTATAATTTATTATTTAGAGACGGTTCTTGGGTTTGATTTGCATTGAATTGAAGCAGGTCCTTTTTTTTTTAATACAAATATATTGACAAAAAAATTAACAAATTATTTTGTAAATATTAAGAAAACAGATTCTTCGTTCGTTTTATGGTTCTCTTTTTTTTTTATATATATATATATAGTTTTTTATTTTTTTAATATTAAAAAAAGGTAATTATTCTTTAATTGAACAAAAAAAAAATTTTAAAATAGACGAAAAATTTCTACCATAAAAAGTTAAATAGTGTATTAAAAATTATTTAAAAATTATAAAGTCAAAATTTAATAAATTTTTAAATAATAATTATCATAAATAAATTTAATAATTTATATTATCATACCGTATAAAATATTATATTGATATCTTATTTTACATAAAAATTATACCTCATAATTTATATAAATATGAATATATAAAATAAAATATTTTAATTTTATTAAATTTATTTATATTTTTAAAATTTTAAATTATATTATTTTAATATTTTTATTTATATATTTTAAATTAACAAATCTAATCGAAAATTATACTCAAGCAACGACAGTTATATTTGCAATACTACATTTTAAGAAATAAGGTCATTGAATTAAGACATAAAAAACAAAACGGTCAAAAAAAAAAAAAAAACAAAGGTAAAATTAAAAACACCAAACTGGTAATGAAGTGAGAAATTCGAAACCCAAAAGATGAAACCACATATTACCAATATATTACGGAAGAGTGTATTTCTTATGTACTTTCTTTTACATCCCCAACCGATGTTTGCAGATCAAAATTTGTCTCTCCTGTCTTCAGATCAACCGCTGATTCATATAGTATTTGGGGCGAAAGTCTGCCGTTCGATTGTTATGATATCGCTTTCAATTCATCATCATCGTCCAATCAGTTGATTGCTTAGGAAAAAGGTCAAAAAAAAAAAAAAAGGAGTTGAGATTTTAAGATGCTTTCCGATGTTAAAATCAGTAACTATATGTGAGAAAGAAGGAAAATAAAGGGAAACTGGAGAGTTGCAGAGAATGAGAATGAAGGTTCTAGGTTTTCGGATCTTTTTTCCAATTTTTACATGTTGCTCGTTAGAGATGAAACAAAATTAAGAAATCAAAAAATCTATTCAAAAATCATAAATATTCTATTCATTTCGGATCAATTTTTTTTATTCTATTCGAATTAAATTTAAATATTAAATATGTATATTAAATTCGAATTACATTTTAAATTAAAAAATAAAAAATAAAAAAATTTTAACTTAATTATATATATTTTTAAATATATATTTTAAATTTTTATAAAATGATAATAATAATTTTATATTAAAGTATTAAATATATTAAAATTTTATATTAAAATAGTATTTAAAAATTTTAAAAATTAAAAATCAATAAATTAAACTAATAAAATTATGTTTGATTCAAATAAAATAAATATTTAATTTAAATTTAGATCAAATTTTTAATTTTCATAATATTATATAATATTTAAAAAAAATAAACCGAATCTAATTTAAACTAAATTGTTATCACTCTTATTGCTCACCAAATGTAATTCATATATCATATGGAGTCGATTATGTATAATGCTTGGAATAGGTGGTAGTTTGATCTTCCTATTACGATATCTTATTACGATATCTCATGAGCTTAATTTATTATGTTAAATATTCAATTGACGAATCTAATTTAAATATAAAATTATAAAAAAAATTAATATTTAATATAATTAAGATAATATTATTTTAATAAATCTAATTGCACGTAAGTGGAGACAAAATTTACCATGCAACAAACTTGAAATGGATAATAAGCAACAACAACAAATAAGAATAATAAAAAATATCTGAATTATGGTATTATGTTAAGTTCTAAATAAAAATGTTAGCACGAATATAAATTAATAAGAGAAAAATTAAGAAGATAATAATACAAAGAAATATGGGGTTCGACCATGGCGACTTACATGCACAAGAGAAATACTCAAAATAATTAATATTATCACTTATATAAAAGAGTATACAAACCCCTATTTATATTGGTGGTATAAATAATATATAAAAATTAATAATGAGAGAAATATAAAAAATTAAAATTAATTATAATTCATTATATATTTTTTAAAACATTTATATTTGATGTATTATAAATATATAAATTTTATAAATTGTTAGTGATAAGATAATATCACACATTAATAACGTGAATCAAATGATATTATCTTATTAATGAGTAAATTTTTTTAAAAATATCAAATTTTATATTTATTCATTAATATGATAATATGATCTAATTTTTTGATAATTTATAAAATTTATCTATTGATAATACATCAAATATAAATCTTTATTTTAAATCAATAATTAATTATAATTACTTTCTTATTATTAAAATAATCTCATAATTATCTTAAAAAAAAATTAAGAAATTCAATGCTTTTCAATATGCTATTCAAGTCAGCATATTAAAAAATATTTAAAATTACAAAAGTCAAGATTCAATAAATTTTTTCGAAAAACGATCTTCATAAATCATAGTCGTTGAATAAAGTAACGTACTTACATACTTGCAATACAAAAAGCTTCGAGTACTTTTTAAGAAATAAAGCCATTGAGTCAAGACATTAAAAATGAAACGGTCAAAAGGAAAGAAAATTTTAATGTAAAAACTAGAAACACCAAACTGGAAATGAAGTGAGAAATCGAAGGCCAAACAATGAAACCGGATATTACCAACAAATTACCAGAAGAGTGTATTTCTTACATACTTTCTTTTACATCCCCAATCGATGTTTGTAGATCAAAGCTTGTCTCTCCTGTCTTCAGATCAGCCGCTGATTCGGATACCATTTGGGGCAAATTTCTGCCGCCTGATTGTTATGATATCATTTCCAATTCATCATCATCTTCCAACCAGTTGGTTGCTTCCATGTCCAAGACCCAGCTGTATTTCCATCTTTGCAATAACCCTGTTGTTATTGACAACGGTACCATGGTAAACGTATATATATTTTTTAATTTTTATGTTAATTTTTGTCTTTAATTTGGTCAGTTTTGTAATAAAATGGGCTTCCTAAGATTTGGGTATTTTTTATTTAGATGAAAATAAAGTGGAATTAATCTATTGATTGGGTATTTATTTAGCATGGTAATTGAGTTGTTTGGCTTTGGAGAATTTAGCTTTAGAGTTGTTCCTGTGTCGATGGATTAGATGGTTATAATTATTTGATAAAACCCCAATTGTTTAGGCTGACACACTTTTGACCATTTTGAAACCGGGGAATTTCCTGGAAAATGTATAAGTCAATGGTTTGGAAGTCAAGCTTTGTCAAATGATTTCGTGTGGTGAGTAGTAGCAAAACTTTTTAGGCAGTCCATATGAAAGTTTGGATGATTGAAAATGTTGAATCAATCAGGAAGGGGAGCTATGAGAAATGACAATGTTTCATGGTCCTAGAGAGGAGCCATGAATCTAATATTCACTGTGAACTAGAGTTAGTCTTGGGATATAAACGCTCATACCACCTTTACCTTATGTCTTTTGTGGGACAAAACCGTGGAGCTTAGTAGGGTCAAAGCAGATGATGCCTCACAAGTTGCTGTGGATCGTGACAAGAAGCCTGCTAAGACTAATGACATATAGTTAATTTAGATAGTTAGATTGATGCCTCAATTTATTTGTACTAATATCCACCTTGTGATTTGTTGGCATAGCAGAAAATCTAGTTTTCTGCCCACCATAATTTGTGAAAAAGTTCTGAGGTCCCCCCTGGTGGGCAGTTCACCCTAATATTTGTGCGAGTTTGTCCATGGTTTATATTTTACAAATTCTGTAATGTTTGTCCTTTCTTTTTGGGGTTCGATATGTTACAATTTCTACATTAATCATAAGTTCTTGGGAAATTGTATTATGTGCATTTCTAGAATTGATCAATTGCATATGATGCCTAGATCCTATTTTTGAGTGACTTTGCCATCCAATAATGAGAGATTTATGTCGTGGAATCCTAATTTTGGAACTACTGTGACTTTGTTACTTATGCTATAAAATCTGGTATACAACATAGCTTTTCTCCTTTTCAATATATTATTATTCTGGGATTCTGGTTGGATTTTAATGGCTAAAATGTAAAGGAGACTAACTTCTTGAGTTGTGGACCCAAACCAGTAGAATTGTATGTTATACCCGGTTTAATGCTTTCCTATTTGACGCATATGTTAAGAACATTAGTATGTTTACCACCTTGATTTTTCTATACAGAGCTTTGGTCTGGATAAAGCGACTGGGAAAAAATGTTACATGTTGGCGGCTCGAAGGCTTTCAATTGCTTGGTCAAACACGCCTAACTACTGGAGATGGAGACATCTGCCTGAGTCTAGGTGTGTCTGCTCTTGAATCCTCTTCTTATTTGCTTGAAAAGTTAATAATTATGTTGCTATATTGTACTGTCTTAGGGATCAAAATTTCATTTCTATAAATAAATCATATATGACTGACTGCATTTTTAGGTTCTCTGAAGTGGCTGAGCTCAGACAGGTGTGGTGGCTGGATGTGAAGGGAACAATAGAGACTAAAATTTTGTCTCCTAAGACAACTTATGTAGCTTACCTTGTATATAAATTTGCAACACCTAGATATGGATTTGAGAAAAAACCTGTAGACCTGCATGTTGAGTTAGAACAAAGTGATGCCGGGCGAACTTTTCGTGTATTCCTAGATCCTTCAGAAAATATTCCTCAATTTTCTCGTGAGAGAGGAGATGGGTGGATGGAGGTTAAGTTGGGTGAGTTCTTCAATGAACACGGTGATGATGGGAAAGCTATTTGTAGTTTGCGGGAGGTTGATAACTATATCCCTAAGAAGGGCCTCATTGTTGAAGGAATTGATATTAGGCCTAAAGATATCAGATAGAAAAGAGTTTCATAGTATGCCGTGATAAACATTATTGTTTGTGACATATATACAACATTTTTAGTGGGAACATTTGCTAGTGTGGTATACTATAGTTGTAGAAGTGACGTCCAATCGGCCTTTCCTGTTCAAGTACTGCTAATTTGGATTGTGAAATCTTTTCTTGATTATGGGTGAGAAACCAAACCTTTCAATTTGTTTACTTAGATATGCCGTCTTAGCAAACCAGTAGAAACAAAGAAGTAGATCTGCTAGAGTGCAAAGCCTGTTACTTTTTGCTATATTCAACTACTACATGATAGGATAGATGGTTAAAATTTTTATGTTTAGCTGTGTCGTGCTGAATGTTGATCTCTCAAGTCTTAGACTCTTAGTACTGATCTTTTCAATGAAAGACTAGTGTGGTCCTTAAGTCTGTTATCAAATCACATGCATCTGTGCCATGTATGTCACTTTAGGCCTAATCCACCAGCAACCATTCTCACTTTTGTTCATAGAAGACATCTGCCAGCTCTATTTCCATCTGTCCACTCAATTCTTATCTTGAGATAATTACAACCTATTCAATAATTGAAAGCATTTTTTTATATGAGATTAGGCTTAAAGATGGCGGATGGTCACAATTTCTTCGTATTTTATGATAACTCGATCATTTTTAGTATTTTATGCTTCTCTTAATGACAGTTGCAGCAGTAGTGCCTTGATCAATCCTTTGCTGTTTTTTAAAGTAAACTGAGATCCTCAAATCAAGTATTGAGTATTTGAGTCAAATAACAAATCTTCCATTTTATCTAATGTTTGATAGACAAGCCACTTTGCTGCTACCTTTCTTGTCAATTATGTTGCTCTGAATTCTGAATGTTGGGTATGACTCAATGCAAATCTTCTACATAAGAGACTGTTGGAGTCTTCAGCCTTTAATCTGATAGTGATAATATCAATTTTACATGCATCCCTGCTATTAGACCTGACTACTCATTTATTCGTATTGTGTAAAATATTAAAATTCATGTATTCGTACCATATTTTACACGAAAATTATATCATAATTCGTGTCAACATGAAAACATATAATACATTTTTTCAGATTTGTTAAACCCATATATAATGATTGCTAAAATTTTAAATTGTGTCACTTTTGTATCCATTTTTCATATTGTATTCATGTCATGTTATCATGTCATGTTTTAGATTGTTAGGTCAATTTGCTATTGCTCACTTATAAGCCAAAATCTCATTTCTCTAAGGTTATCATCAACCTCTCACATTGTACATCATAATACCTTTGTGATCATACTGTTTGTAACAATTTGATTTGCATCCAATTCCCCGTCTTGAGTTAGGGATTTGGTGATACATGCGTGTGCGCGCATGCACGTGTTGTTTCGATGATTCAGGTTAGTTCCATATTGATGGCATATGGCATTGAATTTACCATCATGAATTTCTTGTTGACGCTAATCTCAAATGCATGTGTTTTTTGTGATATAAACCATATATTTTTATTTGGAGCTGCAGATTAAGTAACCTATTTACTATTGAATTTCTGTTCACAAAATTGTTAATAAAAAGAATAGAATAAATTGAATTTGTAATGTTTTCTTGATGTCTTAACCTTTTGAATATTGAGAAAAAATTAAGGACTCACATGAAAGAAATTGGAAGTTTAAGGACTGAAAAAGAATCCAAATAAAATGTTTGGGACTGTGGAATAAATTACCCGGATAAATTCTTGCCCGCTCCCTTGGTTCCCAAACAAAACAAGTTTTGAAAAGTGAATACTTCAAAAGAAAAAATTGGCGCCGGAACACGGTACAAAGCCATCAAAATCTAAAAAATCGAAGGAAAAAAAAACACTTCTGTCCTCGAAAAAGTGAAGAAAAATAAAATAAAATAAAATAAAAAGAATTCAAAGCAAGCTCCGACAAGGGCTTCCGGGCAGCACTCTATTGCTTCATCATTCCTCTCTCCTTCTAATTCGTAAGCAAGCCTAACCCAATTCCTCTTACCCTATTTTCTTTCTCTCTCTCTATCTCTCGGATTTTTTTGGATTTTTGGCTGATTTTTTTCTTTTTTCTTTTTTGGGTAAAAATGTGAATGGAATTAGTTCTAAGGAAGTAAAAGAAGGATTCCGTAACAAAGATTCAAAGAAGCTTACATCATTATCAGATTTTCTAAACCGAACGCTATTGGATTTGAATCCGATTGGTATTTGGTGACATCTATGTGCGTGCACGTGTCGTTTATACGATTTGTTGATTGCACGTGGCATTCAGTTTATTATCGTGAATCTTTTGATGATGCTAATTATATAATTTACAATAATATAATATAAAAATAATAAAAAAATATTATATATGTATCTTAAAAAATTATATTTTATATTTATTTATATCAACATAATTTATATCTTATATATGTTAACTTATTTAAATGTGTAACATAATACAAATACTATATATTTAATTTAATATTATCATACAAGTACATATTTAATATATTTTTTATATTTATTGTAATTTAATATAAATATATAAATATTATTTTAATTTTTTAATTATGATACTTAATTAGTTATTTAATATCATATAAATTTTATTTTAAATATTTAATTATGATAATCATTTAATAATTATTATAAAATTATTTTATATTTTAATAATATAAATATTAATATTAATCCTATGTATTATTATCTTATTATTTAGTCTTTAATAATTTATCATTTTGAATTTAATCTACTAAAAATTAATATAGTTATATAATATAAATTAAAATATATATTAAATACATATTAAATGAGTATTAAATTTTTTTATTTTTTAATATATAAATACTTTTTTATATTATTAATATGTTAAATTTATTAAGTTGTAAATTATGGTTATTTTATAGTTATTTATTATTTTCGTCATGTTCTTGTATATATTTATGTTAATCATATCTATTTGTGTATATTTGTATTAGTCATGTTTATTCACATGTATTCGTATTATTTGTGTTTATTCGTATCGCGTTTAATAAATTTATTATTCGTGTTAATTGTATTATATCACGTGTAATACGTATATTAAACATATTATATTCGTATTTATGATTTAAACACGTTTTATAATTCGTGTCGTGTTCATATTTTAATAATTCATATCATTATACATATACAAAATTATACCAAAACACGATTTGTCAGGTCTAATGCTAATTTTGAATGCATGTCTTTTATGAGATATAAAACATGTGGTACTATTTTAGACTATAGATTAAGCAATCAATTTGCTATTGAATTTTTATTCACAAAGATGTTGACAAAAAATAGAATAAATTAAATTTGTAATGTTTTTGTTTAAATATGATAATTCATATATTTGACTCATATAAAATATTAAAATATATGTATTTATGTCGTATTTTATATAAAAAATTACATATCAAATTTGTGTTGACATAAAAATATAAAAATTTTTTTTATTTTGTTGAACTAGTATATAATTATTATTAAAATTTTAAAACATCTCATATTTGTATTTTTATATTATTTTTATCGTATCATCATATTATATTTAAAATTATAATGTATATTATTGTTGATCTGTTAACCTTTTTAATATTAAAAAAATATATATTTTGATCAGAGTAGAATATTTTTGTACCATAAAATTAAAGTTGAGCTTAACATTTAGCTTAGTTGTCAATTATTTGGTAAAATTTCAGTTAAGGTGTCATTGGTCATTGTTGTTTGAAGCTTACATTAGCATTGTGATTGGGTTCCAAAACGTAATTTTGGATCCAAACGTACTGCTAAATATATTATAGTTTGTATTAAAATATTTTTAAATATTTAAAAAATGAGTCAACCGTAAAAGCATATAAGGAAGAGATGCAGTTGCAGTTTAGATTTATGATTTGGGGTAAATGATCAAATATTTATTCAATTATTTATTATTGACAAAGCTAACCTCAATTAATAAATATATTTTTTGTATATTTTCAGATTAAATTTCAGAACAATTTATATTAATTATTTCAAAAGTATTTCAAATTTATTTTATTATATCTTAATATTAACTTCCTTGAATAATATTAAAACAATCTATTTTTTATTTTTCAACATCATTTTTTTTAGATATTTTAATATTTCATAATAATTTTTTGTAACACTTTTCAAACAATTTTCTTTTAATTCGAACATTTTTTAACCACAACAGTAATATTAAATAAGACTCTGCAGATTTGCATTCTCCAAAATCCAAATTGACATAAGAACTTAATTGCTATCATTCCAAAAGGTGTCAATTAAGGACTCACATGAAATAAATTGGAAGTTTAAGGACTAAAAAACAATCAAATAAAATGTTTGGGATTGTGGAATAAATTACCCGGATAAATTCTTGCCAGTTTCCCTTTGTTTCAAAACAAAACAAGTTTTGAAAAGTGAAAACTTCAAAAAAAAATTGGCGCCAAAGCACAGAAAAAAATTCATCAAAATCTTAAAAATCCGAGCCAAAAAGAAAAAAAAGGCCTTTGTCTTCGAAGAACTGAATAAAAAAAATGAATTCAAAGCAAACTCCAACAAGGGCTTTCGGGCAGTGCTCTATTGCTTCGTCATTCCTCTCTCGTTCTTCCAATTCGTAAGCAAACCGAACCCAATTCCTCTTACCCTCTTTTCTCTCTCTCTATCTTTTTTTTTGGATTTTTTGCTGATTTTTTCTTTTTGTAAAAATTGTGAATGAAATTTAGTTCTAAGGAAGTAAAAGAAGATTTGCGTAACAGAGATTCGAAGAAGCTTACGTCTTTATCAGATTATCTAAACCGAAAGCTACCCAGAAGTTCTGGTATTCCCAAAATTGTACAGGTAATATTTTTTTTTTTTCTCTATTTTTAGTCTCTGTTTTGTTGCAGATAAAATGGAATTTTTAAAAAATTTTGTAGCTTCCTTTGTTAAAATTTGTAATAACCCAAATCTTGATAGGAGAAACCAAGGCCATTTTCATTGCTTTTGCGTCCAAATGAAGGGGAATCCATTGATAAGCAGAAGGAGAGAAAGAAAGAAGAGCAAAAAGAGAAAAATGAACTTCTTGATAAAGTTGTTTTTGAGCAGTTCAAGCAAGATAGCACTGAGAAAGTAGATTCTATAATGAGTTTAGGTGGTGTTGGTGAAGAAGAAAAGGAAGAAAATTCAAGAAAAAGACAGAATCCATTTCAAGGTATTAAATGCTGCTTTTTTTTTTTCTAGGCCTGCTTTATACTTGGAATATGCTTTTTAATGTCTTGGTTCTAGATGACTGAAATGTTAAATATATAGGTATGGCCAAGCAATTTGTCTTCATATGTCAATTTCATGTATGAGAAATAATTGAATGAAACGGTTACTCCACGTTGATATATGTTATTTCCTTTCAAATCATTATATATTATTGAAAAAAATCAACCATTTAATTATCATATGATGTATGATAAATAGTTAGATTTTTTACAATAATGTGATCAAGTAGGATTTGAATGAAAGGAATGTGGAGCAACAGTTTCATAGTCCTTTTTCTGTCAGGTATATTGTCTGAGAAAGACAGACAAAGCTTGTAAATGAACAATGAACATGAAAGACTCTGGAAGTAGAAGTTAGAAGAAACAGAAAGGATGGATTAATTAGCTCAAGATGTCAATTATTAGTCAGTGTGTTACATATTTGATAATTTTCTTGCTCAAATATGGTATAATGAGTTTGCACCCTTTTTAGATCTTTGTTAAACATGGCAATTTCAAATATGGCACAATGACATAACATGAAAACGATACGAATAAAAAATAGAAAAATAAATTATTGAAATTTTAGCAAAAATCATAAATATATTTAACAAAACAAAAAAAATATATTTTAAATTTTCGTATCAACATAAATTGTAACATATAATTTTCGTATAAAACATAGCACGAATGCATGAGTTTTTAATATATTATATGATACGAATACACGAATTGTTGGGCTAAATCTCTGTTCTGGTTTGGTTGTAACATCTCTTACAGCTAAATATGAATGTTGATGAATTTGACTTCAAATCTATATTCTTCAGTTTTGTGGGATGTTTTACATTAGAGGTTATAGAATTTGGCTTGAAATTGTGTGGATTAGCAGATTTAGATGAAGAACGCAGAACACGAAAGCCTTTTCTAGTTCTGGCAGACGATCCACAAGACCTGAAGAAAAGAAGAAGGGATTGTTCTATAAGCAACAAGAAACCAAAACCCCTTTATAATCACTGTAAGCATGATATCATTTCTTAAATTTTCTTCTAGAATTAATCATATGATATATTCTCTGGTGAAGTCCTATGAATCCTTTGTTCTCTTTGGTTTTCCTTCTTTTCTTTTCAAGTTCTTGATTGTTTGTGAAGATGTTAAGATTTTTGATCCTTTGTTCTCTGCTGACAGATGCAAATGGCTGTGGCTGGTGGGACTGTGACATGGAAGGTGTTGACAGTGAGGAAGTAGGCTTTGGTGAAGTATGGGAAGGAGTGGGTTCTACAACATTTGGAGGAATAGCAGACTGGCATTGATCTGATTCTAATCAGTGTTTCAGTATGTTTAAAACTGAAGCAATGCCAAATGCCAAGAGATGGTTATCAAGTTCTTTGTTTTAGGTAATGATGAACAGAATCTCAGTCTATCCTCTGCTTTGTATCAGTACACTATGATTCCATATCTTATCATTTTAACAAAGTAAAACATAGAGTAAAATGTGAAGAATGAAAAGAGAAGAAACCATGGAAAATTGATATTTTGTTGGCTGAATCATACACGAGATGAGACTTAGCTTCTTAACAGTAAAAACTACCATTTACAGTTCTCCTCTCCCACATTTGATTCAATGATTGGGTGTAGCATTCTGCTAGAACCAATTTGTATAACCTGTCCATATTAGCAGGATCTTAATATCTGATACCAGGCAGGCTATTTTTAGTTCAGATGTGGTGGTGGAAGGTTTTAAAATATTTGGCTTCAACTTGTGAAATCTGCTTTTTCTCTCATGTGTACTGAGAAGCAAATATAGTTAAGTTGCACATAATATGACCTAATTGTCTACCAACGATGGGTTAAGCTGATGTAATTCGTTTAAGTTTCATCAATGCAAAGTTCAAGGTTTCAAGGTCCAATACAATCAAGGTGTTTTATCTGCTCTTACAAAGCCACATTTCGACCATGAGTTGAGCAAAAATGAAAAAAAAAAAAAAAGTAAAATGGGGTGACAAGGACTCTCAGTCTTAAGATAATTTAGAAGTAAGGGTGTGATTGAGTCAATATAGGTAAAAAGTTGAATTTAATTGGAAATTTATTATTAAAAATTTAATTTAAAATAAAAATTGAGTTATTTGAATTTATTTCATTATTTTTGTTTAATAAAAATGAATTCAATTTTTATATTTAATTTTAAATTCAATTATATATTCAAATTGATATATAAAAATAAAATAATAATTTAAAAATTTTATTAGATTTACAAGTTATTTGAATCGAATATTAAAATGATTTAATTTGATTTATTAAATAAATTAAATTATTCAAGTTAAAGTTTAATTTAATAATGATTAGGGATGATAAATGAATAAGTTAAGATAGATTTATGTTTATTTGAAATTTAATTTGATTTTATATTCATAATATTTCAATTCGATCAAATAATTTTTTTATTTTTTAATATTTAAAATTAATTCAACTGAATTTAACATTATATAAAATTATATTTAATTTTATTTAAAATTAATATTTTTAATATAAATATAAAATTAAATAATTAATTAAAAATATATATAATCTGATCAAAATAAATTTTTTAAAATCTGATTTAAATAAAAAATAAAAAATTAGATCAGACGGAATCAAATTAAGTGACAAAGAGATTAACGTATCATTCCTAATAACGACGGAATGAACTGAATGATTTGCAAGTATTGACAAAACATTTACATTCTTGCTGAGAAGCTACGAGAGCTACGCGCTGGCCAACTGCGCCGCCACCCCGTGACCACCGTAGGCTTCCTATTTTATTCTGACAAGTAAAAAAAAATCAAACCACTACGCCACAATTTTCTTGACTAGCCTAGCATTGGTAGACGTTTATTTTCCTCTCCTTTCTTAGTGGACCTTAGAAAATTATTCGACAGACTTCTAGAATTCCTTACCTTTCCTTTCTAACTTTTGTATTTTCTTTTCTTTCCCATGGACAAGGTCAAGCATGTTAGGCGATAGCAATATGTCAACAAGTTTGTTGAATACATGTTCATTCGTTCGAATAGTTAAAGAATTTGATTTTTTTTAAATAAATTTTGATTTTAAATTTTGTAAATGATAAAATAAAAACTTAAAAAATTTATTTTTTTATAAAATTAGATATAATTTGACTTTAAATTCATTAAAATTTAGATAAAAAAATACATATTCAATTACCCAAAATTATAAATATATATTTTTTTAGTTTTTGGTGTATAATATTTTTAAAATTCTTGAGGACAAATTGGCTCAACCCTTTTTATTTGGCATTTAATCATGTAAAAAATAACCAATTTCAATGGATAGTCTTCCCCCCATGATTTGTAAGAACTAAAATTACAATAAAATATTTTTTGATTGAGATAAATTTAACGATTTATGTATTTATATTTTATAAAATATTAAAATTTTTATATTTATAATATGTTTTGTAAGGAAATTATATATATTACAATTTATGTCATATAAAAATATAAAATATTTTTTTTATTTTATTAAATTAAAAATTATTATTATGAAAATTTTAAATTATAAAATTTTTTTATTATATTTATATTGTATTATTGAATTGTATTTTAAATTATTAAATTTAAATTAAAAAAATTAAAAATATCAAGAGAATCGAATTCCAATTCCCATGTCTTAACACATGGAAATTTAGAATTGTGACCAAGGGTCATCTATATGTCATAGTCAATTGTAATTTGATTCTTTTAGAATTATATATATATATATATAAAGATGGATTCTTTTATTCAGAATTTTTACTAAAAAATTTGTACTCCACATTCTTCCCATTTTCGTTGATGCCAACAATTGTTCTCGTTGAGTGGAGTCCCATCGATCCATTGAAAAAGTTTCTTTGCCTTACTCTCTTTGATGGAAAGACCAAACTATTCTTAGCTTTCTAGAAAATAATCTTTGGATTTTTTAAAAGAATTTTCTTCCCTTTCCAATTTTATTATTCTTTTATTTATTTAAAGAAATACTCTTTATACCAACCAAAGATGATTTTAAATGCAAATGATCTTGAATTTGAAGTATATTGGTGGCTTTTGTTGACATTTCCAATCTTGAATAGATGATTTCCATGAGACTTCCACTTCCCCCGTATCTTGTCTTGGATTAATTTTAATTTTGTAATTTTTTATATATAGTGGAATTATAGCTTGTGGAAAAAATAATATTATGACAACAGAAAATGTAAAAGGAAAAGTCTTAAGTAGATTTGATAATTTGAAACACGATACGATATAAAAATAATATTAATAAAATATATAAAATAATACGATTTAAAATTAAAAAAAATCATAAATATATTTAATAAAATAAAAAAATTATATTTTATATTTTCGTATCAACAAAAATTATAATATATGATTTTTATATAAAACACAATACGAATATAATATTTCACACGACATGATAATACGAATTATCAAATTTAATCTTAAAATAAAATGCTTCAAAGAATAACTACAATAATAAATAATTTAAGACAATTATTGTCCCTAATCTATTTGTTCATGTGACCAAAAACAGTGGCAGAAAAATCATGATCTGTAAGGCAAAATTATTCCATGCAAGCGAGTGACAGCCATTGGCAAAAGGATATCCTTATAATTATTCCTATTCATTTTCTTTGTTACAAAGAAAAATCAAAATTCTCAAAAAAAAATTTTTTTTCATTCATTTGCAAAAATTAAAAAGAATAGAGCTTACATGTTTTGAATATTAAAAAAGTATAGTTAAAATAATAAAAAATTTTAACTTTTATTACTTTATTTAGATAAGTTTTATATTTTTATTATACAAAAATAAAATTTTAAATTTTAATTTGTATTCGAATAAATTTTTAATTTTTAATTTGTCTATAAATAAAATTTTAATATAAATCGATCTTTCGTTTGAAATAAAAAATTATTCAATATAAATTAAAAAATAAAAATTTATTTAGATATAATAAAAATATAAAAATTTATTTAAAAATATAATTCAAAGACTTTTCAGTATTTTAACAAAAAATAATATATATTTTTTAATTTTTAAAAACAATAAATTATTTTTGTTAGAATACTAAAAATAATTATTTATGATAAAATTATAATATGATTAGATAAAATAAAAATAAGATGGTGAGGCCATACTTTCACTTACTGGCATATGATTAATATCCAAGAATATTTGGTGAGTCATATTGGGAGGAAATGAAAAGGAAATTATTGGTTTTTATGTGATATAGTAATATATAGAAAAAAATAAAAAATAAAAAAATTATATTGTTTAAAATTTTAATAAAAAATATATAGTGATTTAATAAAAATTAAAATTATTTTTGTATTTAATATTTACATACAAATTATAATTTTTATATTTAATATAAAATAAATATGATATATACATGCGAATTATTAAATTTACTCGAAATCATTCAAATCCAAAATTGATTGAATTAAAACTCATAAAAACTCAAATTTAATATTAAAAATTAAAATTATTAATTTTATTCTAACTTGAACTTAGATCTAATTTCAACTTAACATAATTTTACCTGATTACCACATCAATTAATAATGACTCAAAAATAAAATAATTCGAATTTGATGTAACTGAAACTAAGACTCCAAGTGAGTCCAAAGACGGTTTAAATTAAGTTTCAAAGGTTTGTTTGTTATGCAGTCCTTACAAAATTGTAGTTGGAAGTGAGTCTGTTTCTGGTCCCACGCCATCTTTCTCTTGACGTTTCTCGTTTGATCGGCGTCCCGTTGAAGAGTCCAAGTGGAATGGCTGGCACTGTTGCAGTGGGACATATTGACGGAGATGTGGATTTTATCCCATTTTTTAGTACGAGATAGTTTGAATTTACATTATTAATTAAATTTAAATATTAATTTTAATAAAATTAAGAATGATAATTTAACTTTTATTTGATGGATTTTGATGTGATTTGATTTTTTAGTATCAAATTTTTTTAAATCAAATTTTATATCAAGTTAGGTCGAATAGTTAAAAATAAAATCAGATTAGATCGAAATCAGATTTTAGACAAATTCATTTCGATTTGATTTGATATATATAAAATTTTTTTAATTATATATATTTTTTAATTTATATTTATATTAAAAATTAATATTTTATATTTAAAAAATAATATTTTATTAATTTTGAATTGAATCGGATCGAATACAATTTTATATAATTTTAGATCAAATCGAGTTCATGTATAAAAAATAAAAAATAATCAGATCAAATTTGGATATTATAGGTATAAAGTTGAATTGGATTCGATACCAGCAAAAACCAAACCTATTCTATCTTGATGAGGGATAGCAACGGGTCAGGTCGAGATAAGTTTCTGTTCCCCTTGAACCAGACCCGATTTATAATTATAAAACCCAAACTTGATCCGAACCTGACATTGTATAAATCGTATCGACTCGACCCCGAAATTAATAAAATATTATTTTTTAAAATATAAATATTATTTTTTAAATATAAATATATAAAAATATATAAATTAAAAATTAAAAAATAATTTTTTATATAATATCGGGTCGGATTGAGTTTTAGGCAAACTCGACCTGACCCGATCCTGATTTTTCTTTAATAATATCTGACCCGAAATCCGATTTTAAAAAACAAAAAAATTGATCTTATGAGGTTGGGTCAA